AGGGGCGCGTTCGTCATCTCTGTCCGCCACATCTCGTCTTGCACTATGCTGAATCGGTCGTTCGCGGCGTCAGTCCATTGCGATTCGACGATGCAGAGTGCGAGGTGTTTCGGGTCGCGTGATCGGAAGAGCCCCTCGTGACTGTTTCGAGAAGCGGTGGCCATGATATTGAGCCTGCTGTTGCTGTAGACGTCTTCCATCGACGCGGCTTCGGCTCGCCAGTCGGCTACAGAGTCTTGGATGATGCAGAGCGAGTCAATCCAGAGGTAAGGTATTGAAAACCGGCGGGAGACGGCAATTGCTTCTACAAAGGTTTTTGGCAGTAGCGAGAGAGAGATGCCCTGCTGGAACGCATCAAGCGTTGAAGACTGAAGTTTGAGTATGTTTGCATCGCCCCAACAATGGCTGAGTGTTGCGTAGCAATATATTCCCTTTCTTTCGACCTTCGTAGCAACCAGCCTGATAACTCCCGGGTCGTCTTCAGAGAGACTAAGGAGTCTTGAAGGCAGATAGTGACTACTGGAATTACACGCAGTATGCATGGAAAGACATGCTTGATACCATCTGAATGCTTGAGCCCATGCTGCGTCTGAATCGGTACTACCCCCCGCGAACAGAGAGTTGTTCTCCGTTGGTCCATCATAGACTAAGAAAGCGTTATAAGTAATTCTGCCCGACCCTGAACACATTTGCTTAGTCAACATACTATTCGGTGGGAGGACTTCGAGGTCCAATGACAAGCGGTATTCGATGAGCTCGTCGTAGTCGTCATCAAGCGCAAGGTTGAGGTCATAACCACCCCCCTCTCGGCGTTCCAATACCCAATACGAGAACTCGTTCGACGTGGACAAACCTGCGAATATCTCTAGGCGGGCTTCTCCTATTGAAGACCGGAACTCATAACAGACGGGGCAACCCAAGTCCGAGGCCTTGAGAAAGGACTGCAGAGAGGGCTGGTGGGCCTGGGAGTTCCATTGTGAGGTCTGGTTGTCAGATGTTGTCGAGCCAGCACTCAGGATCTGCCGGCCGCGAAAGATTTTTTGGCAGGCTTCACAGAGCATGCCTCGTCCGTTACTGTCGATTGGCATGTCGGATTGGAAATGGCAGAATATCTAGACGGGATGGTACAACGTCAGGCAGTTCAGCCAAACTCCCGGAGAATTCCTTGGCCAAAATAGATGGGGGTCAACAGACCGGACACCACACCGCAGGGAGGTCTGGGTGACTGCTCTGATTCGTGCGGTTATGAGATAAGCATGAGATAAGCATGACGGACTGATAAACGGTAATGCCGAGATAAGAGTTAACGTGTTTGATAAGCGTGCGAGCCAGATAAGCGTGCGAGCCAAAAATCCCTCATCCTACATCAATACTATCAAATCAATTAAATCTCAACCACATAATATGTTACAGCCTAATCAAGAAGCTAGAATCAATCTTGCGCTTCAGGCCTATAAGGCAGATCCTAAATTAAGTTTGCGACAAGCCGCAACGGTCTATAATTTCCCCTATCCGACCCTCCAGCACCGATCCAGCGGCCGGCAAGCTCGTCGCGATTACATCCCAAGTTCACGAAAGCTATCTGATCTAGAGGAATAGATTATTGTTCAGTATATCCTTGATCTAGACTTACAAGGATTTCCTCCCCGGCATCGTGATATTGAAGAAATGGCGAATCGACTGCTTGCTAACCGCGATGCGTCACTAGTTAGCAAGCGCTAGGCTATTAATTTTATTAAGCGGCAACCAGAGCTCAAGATGCGTTTTCCTCGGAGATATAACTATAAGAGAGCCTTATATAAAGACCTGATTATTATTTGCAATTAATTTAGGCTTATAGAGAATATAATTGCGAAATATAGTATCTATATAAATAATATCTGGAACTTTAATAAGACTGGCTTTATAATAGGTATGATTTTAATCGGCAAAGTAGTTATAAGTGCAGAGAGGCATAAAAGGCTAAAATCAGTTTAGCCTAGAAACCAGGAATAGGTTATAGTTATTTAAGGGATTAATCTAGTAGGTTAGGCTATCCTGCTATTTATTATAGTTATAGGCTAGAATTACCTTTATAATTAGTATAAAGGAAGTAGCCTCTTAATTAATTAGGCTATTACTATAACTCTAAATAGATAGATAAATAATAAGATAGGCCTTAAGTGGCTAAAGTATTTTAATAAGCATATAGTTAATTAATTAATTAATACTTATTGCCTTTTAATCCTTAATAGTTATAAAAGTTATTACTTAGCTAACTTTAAAGTATATTGCAAGGAGAAGAAGATTATCCCGCTCTATATACCTCCTTATTCCTCTTATCTACTCTAGCCTCTTAATATTAAGTGCTTTAAGCCACTGAAAAAGGCCTATAGTTAAGAAATAGAGTATCTAATAAGATATTATATAACCTATATTACTAAGGTTATATTCTTTCCTACCTTCTATGCCGCTTATTAAGCTACTATTATAGAAAGTAATATTAAGGGAGGTTTTAAGGGGGCTAGGCTTATTCCCTTTAACCTAGAAAGTATAATCTTAAGGCTTAATATATAGCTATAGACCTTAATGCCTCCTAAAGAGGATATTAGTCAGGCTTAACCTTAGACCCTAAAGATACTAAAGACTATTAATAAGGCTAATTCTTATTCAGAATACCTTAAGAGATAAATTAGAAGATATTATAGTAGCTCTCCAGAGTTAATCCTTAAAGCTCTTAAGTCTCTTACTAAGTCAGTAATAAGAAATATGCATAAGACTGCGCTACTAGAGGCTAAAGTCAGAGAGCTTTAAGAGGCAAATATAATACTTAGCCAGAATAAAAGGAAGAAAAGAACCCGGCTATAAGACAGCGGCAAGATAACTATAGGGAATAGTCAGAGTCAAATTGATCAGATGGATGTAGATATGCAGGTAGTGGCCGAATCGTCGAGAAATGGTGGTTGTGGAAGGTTAGAAGGACTAAAGGTTCGGCATTATAGCAAGTGCAGTAAGGCCGGGCATAATATAAGGACCTGTCGAGAGGTAATCAAAGTCACTAAGGAGGAGGAAAATAATTAGTTTTATTCGATCCGATAGGTTGTGGTGTTTTTATTACTATTTTAATTGAGAAGGTAAAGAATTTTAGCTCGCACGCGTATCTGGCTCGCACGCTTATTAAATACGTTAGGTAACCCCAAGTCGACGCTAGTTAACCCCAAGTGTGGGGTTGGGGTTATTTTAGGCCAATGAGCAGCTCGATCCAACGTCAGTCGATACAAGTCCAAGTTTTAAGCGAAATTATCCATTTTGGTGAACGATATCCGGCTAATCGCCTCTTAATAGTTCCTAGGGTAGTCATCAATTCAATCAGTTCAATTCAATTCAATTGCACATCTGGTAGACAAAAGATCAACATGTGAACCGTGCGAGCGTGCAAGTGCCATACACTGGACCGTGACATCCAGGCTACAGGTCAATCGATGTCTCAGATTGAATTGATGACCACCCTGGTTCGGATGCGACAGCAATTATAGATAGTTTAGCTCAGCACGTCCTGTGCCCCAGCAGGGACTTTTCGGGGCCGATGGTCCCCCGGACGAAAATACACATACATACATACATTGGCCTGATATTAAACCTTTAAAAAATCGCTTATTATGCTTTTCTTACTCAATAGTAACTTAGATAAAAGAATCAAACTCAGAGTCTCAACAAGATAATTGGCTTTTGTTTTTTATTCTAAACTGATTTATTCCGCTCGTGTCAGTTGGATAGTTAGATGTCTATAACTTATTGCTTCCTTTGTATAGTAGTATGCCTTAGCCCGGAGAACCCCAAGCTCTGTAATTCTTAATCCTTAGGCACCCAAACTAAGGCTAAATAGGACCCTCTATAGTAAGTTGCGCTGCCTTAATTATTTAGGGATTACCTTGTCAATCTATTATAGCCTAACCTCGGATAGAAGAGCCCGCTGATAACCCTTGAGAATAAAGCCATAGGAGACTCTCTAATTAATGCAACTAATAAATCAAGGCTATTAATTCTTATAATAAGGCCTTCTGCTGTAGGTAGCTATTGGCTTAGGTATAAAGAGATTAACTAGTATTAGCTTAAAATTGCATATTAGCCTTACTAGATGAATAGAAGTGTAACCGTTTATGAGAAAATAATGCATAAGGAGAAACAATAGATAAGGTGCAAGAAGGGGCATATAGCATATTAGAAGAAAAAATCCCTATTATTAATATAAAATATAATAAATATTAGTCTATATTATTGCAATCTCTTATATGGCATAGATGTGTTCTCTATATTGTCTCTTTTCTCCTGTGAGCAGTGCAGTTACATTATGATTCGTTGAAATATGCTGCATGGTTACGCCAGGCATGGATAAAAAGGGAAGCGGCTATATATTTTTAACCCCTGCAGATAGCAAAGTAATAGGCCGCGACTACTAGAACCTCTGCACTTATCTCTGAATTATGCTATATAACCCTTGAAAGCTATTAACCCTGTTTTTAATTAAGCGCTAGGCAGGGTAGGGTAATAAGATATATAGGACTAAGGGAAGCAGTAAGCTTAATTATAAATTATATGCCATTTATATAGCCAGTGAAAAGGCTATACTAGCTATATCTTATAATAATAGAAAATCCTATTATTATTACTTTAGTCGCTATAAACTGACTGCTAGGCCTAATTTATCTTAGCTAATAAATCGAATTAATTGCTAATTATAGCTTAAATAATATAGGAACCCCGCCGTATTGCTATATTAAAGCCAATAAGGCGATAAGCTAAATTTTAGATTTGCAGGGAGCCGATTTAAGTTAGTCCCTGCAAGGTATAGCCTGGAGCCAGTGACGTAAACTGACAACTGAGCGGTGGGGCTAGAAAAATAAGAGCAGCGTGTCCGCGATTACAAATTATAATACTATAGTTAAATATTAAAGGGCAAAATGAAATTAAAAAAGGTTAAAGGAATTAAAGACTTATAGTAATATCAAGTTTATAAGTAGTTAACTCCACTTATCTTTTAAAGCTGCCCTTATACCGCTCCCACACTCCTTGTTTGTAGCAATAACTGCCAAAAGCTTTGGCGTAACAACAATACACTCCTCACACATTTCCATAAGCAGGTCCATCATACCCTCCCCTGTAAATTCGTTCCTAGCAATTTCCACGAGAACATTCTCTGTAATCTCTATCTCAGTTCTTCTCCTTTCCAACAGTAGTTGCATAATATCAAACGTTCTCCAAGTCCTTCTAACCAGGCATAACAAGATATTTTCAGTAATCTTGACTTCGCCACCACGAACTTCAAAGAATAGCTCCAAGATCTTGACTCCGCTGATTGAGTTGGTGACGGTAGTTTTGAGCAGCCTTTCTGTGATTAGGAATTCATGTCCTCGTCTCTCAAGCAAGACAGTCATTACTTCCGCCCCTTTCCAGATGTTCTTTGCGGCTGCCATAAGGACCTTCTCTCCGATAGCTACCTTGCAATTGTGATACGAGAGAAGAATTTCCATAATCGTATGTCCAAGTCCCGTATTGCTTGCAGCAGCTACAAGAGTGGAAGTCGAGATTTGGAAGTTGGGTTGTAAGTCGGTGATAAGTGCTGAAACTGTCTCGTCCCCCAGATATATATTGCTTGCGGCTTTCTGCAACATCTTTGAAGTGACCTTCAAGCCTGTCTCTTTCCTTTTTAAAAGAGATGCCATCATGCCAGCGCTGTGACTCTCTGCAGCATGTTCCAGAAGTTCTCTCGTGACTCGCATGCCATTGTGGCACCTTTCCAGGAGTGTCTCCATTATAGCTGTTCCATTTTTCTCATTCAGGAATATTAACTCAAGGACATCGCTCGTGATCCCAACAGCGTTACCATATCTCTCGATGAGACATATCAACATCTGATCCCCGATATCTTCATTTTCAGTGACCGCCTCAGTCACTTCTGGATCCAGTTCAACGCTGCCTGGGGATATTCGCAAAAGACCAGCCAGTACCACTGTAGATGCATATTTCGTCGCATCTAGCAGCATGTCCAGGGTTACTTCATTAAAACACCCACCACTAGCTTCGTGGCAGATAGGATCAAAGTATTCTTCGCCGACAATCAATAAAGATCCGTCGGTGGATTCTGCTTCAGAGGTGGTAAGATGCCTTTTCTCGGCCTGGAGCTGTGCAAAAGAATATACAGTCCTATCGACTTCATCCAAACGACCGTGTTGGGAATATGTCTCTGCGAGCTTGAGCATGCATAAAAGGGTGTCTGGGTGAAGTTTTCCCAGAGTCTGCGTCAGATCCCCCAAGGTCTCCTCAAGGAGACTTTCGGCATCGCCGAATTGATCTTGTTTGACGTAGACCGAAGCAATATTCATCATCGCATTTGATGTATAGGGGTGTATCGAGCCGAATAGCTCCCTCGTTACCCGCCCAATGGTGGATTGAACTTCTAGGGCCTCGTCGTAGTTACTTTGTCGAAAGTGTACCTTTGCCAGGAGGGTCATGACTCTCAGGGTTGTTAGATCTTGAGATCCCATTGTATCCTCACACTCCACCAGCAGCCCCAACAGCAAAGTTCGAGCCTGTTCAACATTTCCTTGTTCCAAATATATCTTCGCCAAATCTCCTTTTCTCTCAAAAATCCTCCTTTGCTCAAGCAGGCGGTAATCATACGTATCAAGATCCTTTCCGCTATCTTTGATCACCGATTCAAGGAGTTTCATGCCATCTAGGACTCGGTCAGTCTCACGATAGCATCCAGCTAGCCATGTAAAAAGAGCTAGAGTGGTGGGGTGCTCGTGCCCAAAATCTCGTTTGCAGGTCTCTGAGTTGCGGAGGAGGAGTTTTTCAACTTGGTCCCATCTGCCTTGCTCCCGATACGTACTTATGAGCCCTCCCAATGCGATCAAAGTGGATGGGTGATCGGACCCATATGCGCTTCTGCTCGCATCTATAACTTCGATCGCCAGTTCCTCGGCTTGCTGCCACTCCATTTGCTGACGGTATATCTCCGCCAGGGTTTCCATGGCATACATGGTCGTTCCATCTTTGACTCCAAGTGTATCCGTGTATATCTCCACCACTTTGACTTGCCGTCTTTCAGCTTCATCCCAGCGCTGCAATTCCATATTAGACTTGACAAGGCTCTGGGTGCATGCCAAGGTTTCAGCATGTGTTTCACTGAACTTTTCACTCAGTTGCTCGACCAACTTTGACTGTAGATCGGCAGCATCTATCCAGCGACCCATATTCTGGTAAATAGAGCACAGGGTAGCCCTACCTCCCAAAGTTTCGATGTGCATGGGACCAAAGACCCTTTTCAGGTCCTCAATGACTTGGACTTGTAGTTTGTATGCATCTTGCCACCGGTTCTGGACCATCAATAAACTTGCCAGACTACTCCTCAAGGTCAGAGCAATAGGGCTCTCAAAACCTAAAGTAACCACCACTCCCTTCAGTTCACTCCTGGTGACGACCTCTGCGACTCCTATGACTCCATCGTGGCGGTATTTCTCAACCAGTTTCCCAGGAGCATGCAATCCTTCTCGGGCCGCTCTTTGGTATGCGTGAGCGGCATTTCCATTTGACCACGATCCGATTGGGTCCCGAATTCGCTTTAATTGATCTTCAACCTCAACTCTAACTTCATCGTTTAAAATCGTAACAGGTTGAGGAACATCGTCTTCTCGGCATCCAAACTTGAGTCTCTGACATACCAAGAGATAAGCGCAAGTTAATTTTTCCGGATGCTTGGAATAACTCTCTGTTAATTCAATATAAACGTGCTCACGGACTCTGTAGTCGCTTTCATAGAGCACATTTATGTAACTCGCGAGCTGCTATCGTTAGAAATATTACTGGTCGTCTGAAGTCCACTTGCCTTTAGATCATGCCCAATGGGATGCCTTGTGTTTGTGGGTGTTATCTGAATTGATGGATTAAATCTATGACAGTTAACACTTGCATTAGTTGGAAAAGAAAGACCTACCCTTCTGATGTCATGAGATTTACTGCGTCGAGCATACCATGGGGCCGTAGCAAAGGATCTAGATGCAGGCATTTCTCAAAGAAGGTCACCAACCTCTCTTTTGTTATCGTGCCGATATTTGTGTCCTCTTGTACCATGATCTTCGAGGTTGCAATTAGCACCTTTTGATCTTTAAGGTGAGATACTAAGTCAATGGAGGGATGTTTGGCTTCTGGTGAAAGTTTGTTTTGCCAATGAGCGAGATTAGGAAGTGCTATAACTCCAGACAATTGCCTCTCAAAAAGCATCCAAAAGCAAAGGACACCGAACGAGTATATGTCTGCTTGGAGGACCTCAGAGAAGGTAAATTCTGGTGACTTAGACTGCTCTGGTGCTACCCATGGCTTGGAGCAAGGCAAACAGAGCCTGGTGTCAGGGTGTAAGTGAGAAACCGAGAATCCAAAGTCAGCTACTTTGGGGTAAAATCCTTGTTCATTTTTGAATATCAGAATGTTCTGTGGTTTTATGTCACCGTGCGCGAGACCTCCAAGATGTTGATTAGCAAAGTCTCAGACGACGCAATAAGAGTCTTACGGTAAGACATCATTTCTGCAATTGTGTGGCCGATAGCAACGCAAATGTTCAATCGTTGATTGACATCAAGGCTCCTTCCAATAGATGAGGTTGAAAACCGGTATAGATCTCCGTACTCCGATGTCTCAAATACGAGGGTAGGCCACACACTGAAGCCGCCAGAGATCCCTGGGCCTTTAATGATTTTATGTTGAGTCTGTATTCGGCCAATGTCCCAGCATATCCCTTGCAGCTCCACAATATTAGGATGCCGTCTGAAGGCTGGGTGGCGCAGAATTGACATCTCAGTTATGAGTTGTTGGTAGATAGTTTCTTTCCGTTTTTCTCGCTTTTCAATGTCTGGGATACGCTTAAAGGCGAAACTATGGTTAAAACTGGTTCGAGCTTCTCTGATCTCGCTGGTTGCCCCGCTCCCAAGCTCTTTTCGGTGGTTCTGCCATGTGATGTGTAATATTGGAACGTGGAATCGTTTGACAGCTGCCAAGAACCTGACAAAGTCATATGGAAGCTCAGAGTTGTCTGTAGCCTTGAGGGGGTCGATGCTACTTGAGTGGTATTGTCGACTTATATATTCTGACTCGTTCATCTTTGCAGCTTGCTGATAACATATCAGCCTCCTAACGTTGAAGAATACTTAAGAAAGTAACCTGCATACACCTACATTGAGTAGAAATAGTTAAGGAATTAGGAGGGAACTTCAGCTCCAACAAAAAAATGAATCTGCAAGCAGTTATAATGTCAGCTGACATAAAGATCCAAGTTTTGTCAGAGTAATAAGAGATTCTCTGGCACAGGTGGCCCCAAGCAGATAAGCGCATGTAATTTTGGCATATTAAGCACCATTACTTTTGCTGGAAAGTCACAGTCTGGGACTGAGCTTCTATTGTAGGATTGACGGCCCAACTGTAGGTGCGTTCGCGTGATTGGGGTGTCTTGCCTGGAGCCTTGGTAGGACTGAAGCCATCATGCATAGCCACCCAACGTTTCAACCTAATCCTGGCCATTAGGACCAGTGTTTAGGCCTCTTCACCCAATGATAAGACAAAACCTTCGCTTAAACGGCATCAGTGACACCCTCGCCAGACCAACACATTGGCTGTTTTGGTGCTAGCGCTTACAAAGCTGAAATAGCAATGCATAGATGCCCAATGCCAAGACGAATTTCTGGTCCATATGACATGGCGTAAGTGACAGCCTCATCGGGCAAATTTCAGGCTGATTCCGTGATTAGCACTGCCTTGCGAGTGGGAAGTATCATGGCGATTATCTTAAAAAAGAGCAAACGGATGCAAAGCTGAAATTCTAATTGCTATCCTGAAACTTGAATGCTCCTTCAGAACTTGCTCTCGCAATTGGCTTACCAATGAAACAATATGAGTAACATTGAAACAGAAATAAAGCAGTTGCGTGATAAAAATGCCTCCAAGAAATATTTCATTCCTGAGGCTGCATTTCTACAGCTCATGACAGATGAGCAAGTCAAGACAGCAGTCTTCAAGTCGGACATAGATGTTTATCGACGGGATGAGATTGCTAACCAAGTATGCCGCCGAGGGAGAAAGATCCTCGGCATACTCATACTCATCAACGGCGTATCTCTTCTCCAACACTTCATTGAGGCAGATCAGCTTGAAGATGCCAGACTTCCTTTCACAGAAGAAACTTTGACCGAGATTATACGCCTTTCTAGCGAACAGGCGACAGACTTTGATAAAGAACAATGGATGTTCACAGCACCAACCTTTGAGCGGGGCACTATCAATCGACGATTGGTCAAGGGCTCGATCCTGCCATACAAAACGGAAAAGCGTATAGGGAAGGGAGGGTTCGGCATTGTGTACGAGGTGGTTCTACACCCACTTCACCAAACTCTTGGAAATGTTTTTCCTGAACGTGTAATACACCACAAACATGTCCCTACTCAATTTCATTGCTAATTATACCAAGTTTGTCAGGAAGGAATTCTTAAAAGACCAATCTCATCAAAGTGAGCTGGAAAACCTTGCAGTTCTCAACACTTTAAAGCATCCAAACATTGTTGAACTCTTGAGCTCTTATACCTACGATGATGACCGGTGCAACCTTCTGTTTCCATTAGCAACACATGGAAGCCTCAAGGATTTTATGTCCCAAGATAGACAACTTACTGATTTTCTTTCAGACGACTCTATCCTAGTCGCTCTCACAGGGCTATCATCGGCTGTAAGAAATTTACATGACGTTTTCGAAAATAAGCTGGATCTCACTTTGATCGGTTTCCATCATGACTTGCAACCAAGGAACATTCTTGTCACTGAGAAAACATTCATCCTAGCAGATTTTGGCCTATCAAAGCTAAAGCCATGTGATGAAGACTCGGAAACTCCCTTCAGAAACCGGATGGACGACTATGTAGCACCGGAATGCGAGGATTGGGAAAATAACTACGAGCCAGGCCCAGTGCGTAGATCGAGCGATATCTGGTCTTTTGGGTGTATCCTGGCGGAGATGGTGACCTATGTATCTAAAGGATGCAGCGGTGTGAAGGATTTCAGAAACGCAAGGAAATTTAAGCGGCCTGGCAACACTCACTTTTCTTTCCACCATGGCCCCCAAGAGTCAAGCAACAACGTTGCAAAGTGGTTATCGGACCTCGAGCCAAGTTCTACACCCAGCTTTGTACTAATTATTAAGCTGGTGAGAAGAATTCTGTCCCTCAACCCCTTGGAGCGACCGAAAGCTGTGGAAGTCGAGCGGTTCCTTCGCTTCGTTGCTATTCACCGATCGGTCACTAGGATCGAGGGTCAATTCCAGCAACTTCGAGAAAAGTACCCCCAAAAATTGGATCCAGTTTTGGAGATGATCCGGTTTCAGTCGTGGAGTTATGCTGCAGGAGTTTTAAATGAGAAAAAGGAAGTTGATGTCGAAGCCAAGCTAAATCACAACATTTTGGACCAGTTCGACAAGATTGACGATATCCTTTCTGGCCTCGAGCGTGACATTGAGTCAAGATTAACTCGAGAAGCGACTGGAATCTATTTGGATAATTCCCAGCTTTCGAAGATTGTCGATCAGCTGCACCTCTCTCTGGATGAAAGGCAGAGTGAGCTGTCGCGAGACTATTTCAAAGTCTCTATTTTCAAGAATCATGACAACATATTTGAGGCCATTCTGAATGGAAGCAACGAAATTCCTCCCAGCCATGAGATTCGGATGAGGATCAATATCCAAAACATGGCGCGGCTCTTGGATCAAGACTCAGAATCTCTGTCTGGTGCATTTCTCATCGACTCTGGTCAAGTCGGCGAGCTAAGGGCTTTTGGAGATCATCACCACCACGGCACCCGACGGAATGATCACGCATCGCAACAAGTTTGGGTAGAATGGCGCAACTACGCCCATAATACAGACAAAGAGACGATGGATAGACTCTTTGAACGCACCGCTAAACTGACCGAGTTGCTCTCTCGGGAGAAGCCCAAGGCCTTGCGAATATTGAATTGCACGGGTTTCATTCACAGGCTTGATAAGCAGGCCCTGGGTCTCATTTTTGATTTCCCAACGACACCAAGGCCGGGCCTTCCTTTTGTACCTGTTAATTTGAGCGACGTTATAGGAGATGATCGGCCGTTACCAGACCTTCCAGATCTTGATAACCGTTTTGAGCTGGCTAGTACATCGGCTGCTGCACTGTTTGAATTTCACTCACTCGGCTGGCTGCACAAGAGTCTTACTTCAGCCAACATAATCTTCTTCAAGAAAGAGGAAGACCCAATTACTAAGATTGAACTTTCCCCTTGGCTCGTTGGCTTCAATCACAGCAAACCTGATGATCCGTTAGGTTTCACATCTGGGTTATCAGAGAAAGATTCGAAACTGTATCATCATCCTATTTACCTTGATAGCACATATGGGTACCGACGAGAATTCGACTATTATAGCCTCGGGATAATCTTATTGGAAATTGGGTACTGGGAGAAATTCAGCAAGATGACCAAGAAATGGACTGGCAGTTACGAGGAGAGGCGTCAGAGGCTGCTTAAAGGTCGCATACCCAATCTCAGAAAGACGATGGGGAGAGAGTACGCTGAGGCTGTGCGATTTTGCATTGAGGCTGCCACTAACAATTCCTCATTGGAAAGAGATCCCAATGAGGCGCTGTTGGAGTTTTTAGAGGGCGTGGTCGTACCGCTCGGTAGATTCACCCGTTGAATTATGATGAACTGATTCAATAAAAGTGAAGGCTAATTCAATTGGGCATGATCTAAGTATGACATAAAAAACGTGATTTGAACCTATTGAGCCTTAACGCTTCCGAGCCAAACCTGAGAGGGTTATGAATCTAGGACTTGATTGTAAATTCATCATCGCGGTTTATTTCTTGACCTGGAGCTAGAGTTCTGTATCTGAGAAGTATTTCTTTCATGAGTGTTCTCAGTTATCCGTAATTGACTCAATTTCTTTCTGCATATTCCAGTAAGCTTCAAGGGGGTTTAATCGTGTTACCTAGTAAAAGCACATACCGGAGTAAGTTGACGCGGTGCAGTGACTTGAATCATGTCATTTTCGGTCTGAAGCTCTCTCATCAGCGTTTCTTCGCCCGCAGAATATTCGCTTCACTTACAGTCACATCGTAATTCTTTGCATCCCCAAACAGTGTTGTGAGGAGGTTCGTCAGTTTCGCTCGGGAGACGTATCGAGCTTCGAGGAGAGTTTCGGCCATGTTGTAAATGCTATGGTATGGTGTTGATAATGCTATAATGTTTGAAGTTGCAGGTATGTTTGGTGGTAAGATGTTTGTATTTATCATTCTTTAATTGCGAAACACAGCCTTGTGAGGTATTAAAAAGTGCCTCGGCAATGCCTTGGGCAGTGCCTTGTCTTACCTGCATATGCAGCTAAACACCGCCCCCATAGGCAGTCACCACGTCGACTTTGAGCTACCTTGAAAAACTATTTCTCATTCATCCAATTTTCTTTTACCTGATATTTACTTCCAACTTCATATTCCCAGAAATACTTCTGTTTCCCTTACAATTTTTCCCTTTACATGAAGTTAAAATGGCCTCTGGAGCTACGGTCCAAAATCGAAAAACTCATCTGGACGCGCTTGACGGGCCACGGCTGGAAGTCGGCAATTACGGCTTAGGACAGCTTCTAGAGCCTGATTTTAGTGCAAAGGCATCAGATCTATTTATCGCCAGTACCGCAGTGTCCAGAATCGGATTGCTGCAGCTTTCACCATCTAGTCCTGTAAAGGAAGATATTCAATACATTTCGACATCAGAACAGCTGCAAGTGATACTAGATGTACTTATCGTCTCATCACTATTTCATTAACTCCAAAAGCATCACGTACTAACTTTTGGTAGCAACAGCTTTCCCCAGGTCACATTTTACTGTAAGGTCATTCCTCATTTAAATATTTCTTAGGTACATATTGAGAACTGATTAAATTCTACCTATAGATTGGTTTCGCGTCGAAACTCATGGAGCCCTCTTGGCATCACAGTCGACATGTTTCGAAGGATATATACCTCAAACAGCATCACGCCGCACTTTCTAAAACTCCTCAGCGGCTTTCAGAAGAGATGGAAATCAAGTGATGAAGATTTTGTGGCCTCCTATAGCAGCTTCTCTTCCAACATTCAAAGTGAGTCCGCTCGTATAGAAGATGAAAAGAGCGAACGGAACAAAATATCCAGTTATGGTGAGATTCCAGAATTGCTACTCTCTTGATTGTTTTAGACATGTTGATTTTAACTGCGTAACAGACCTTTGCTATAACATTCGTCACTTCGAAAAGCACGGTAGAGCCCTGGAAGACCCGTGGTCGTGCCGGCAATCTATCATTCACCAAAAATACCACTTCGGTGAAAAGTCATCACTTTGGCTCGTGATCAGTCCCCCATTGCTTTTCTCAGAAAGGTTGGTAGAAACTGGCGCCATTTACACTGCTCATCCCATGGCTCCTCATCTCCAATACCTTTCTGCCGCTCTTGGGTGTTGGAGAGAGTACTTGAACTACCTATCGGAGCAACTAGGTACCCTGGTAAGTTTCTCATCCGATGGAGTTGTTTACAGGGCCAGAGAGTAGCTCATCCATGAGAACCTATCTGGTGCTCAGGCACGGTTCGTGAGAATACAACTGACTCCCAAATAGAATAAAGACATCTCAATGTCTATGCCTTACAGCAAGTACAATATTGGATTCTCATCGATAAATCGAATCCATCACCTACGGAAAAAGATGTTGCACGCACAATCTATCCTATCTAATACCTCTGAAACTGTGGTAACGATTCGGGTGCACGAGCAAACAGCCAGTCGTCAATTTGAAGTGCCATCTTACACCCGAGCTGAGTTCAAAGCTGAACTGAAGAACATAACGAATGACCTTCGAAATTTCCGTACAACTATTCAAAAGCTGCTGGCATTGTCATTGGATTCAAGATCGATGGTAAGATTACCCGGTTCGGATTTTGGTCACGTCTAATTGAGTTTCAATAAAGCATAACGATATTATCAGCTTCCAAAAACAAGAGCTAGGTCTTTCTGACAGCATGAAGCTGACTCAAATCGCGGAAGCCGATTCTGCCGAGTCTCAAACCATGGCCTCCATTGCAAAAATCACACATAATGATTCTCGGAAAGTAAGAGTAATGACAATGGTTGCTCTTCTATATCTCCCCCTCAACTTGGTTTTGGTAAGTTTGATCATATTTCTTATAGTTCATAGAGATAAATTAAACCCTCGTGGTGAGGTATCTAGAAGAGAAATACTAAACAGCTATAGTCTTTTTTTAGCACAACCCTCGTATGGTTCGATCCTAATAGTGAGAAAGGGAGTAAAAGCAATTCGAATTTTGCTCTGAGAATCCATTCTGAGATTTGGCTCGCCATAATTATGGCAATTTTTTTCACCGCTGGAACTATAGTAGCATCTGTGCTGTGGGAGAAGAGAGAGAGGATACAAGACCACAAGAAGATACAATAAATATGTGATATGCTTACACCTACAGCTGATTGTATTTTCTTACATCTCTTTTTAGAAAGTTACTTATAACTATTACTACTGATTAGGCCAAACTGCACCGTCTTTTATATAAAAGATAACACATTTGCCAGTAAGGTTATACTACTGGTAGAATTTAATAACTTCTTGTGGTTTAAAGTCTAGAGTGCAAACACTCTAGCCGTTTCTTTACGTATGTGGACTCGCCTCCGCTGTTTATGTCCAATGGGAATGAAGACCGATTGACACGGACCAGGTTGCGGGTGTCGGATAAGAACCTGGCCACTCTTCGGCTACCCTACTACAATGATTGCTGCGAACATTGTGACGCAATGCACATGTTCTGGTCCGTGCACGCTAGACGCCCCAATTTCCCCGGAATTGCGTCGTAATACATTCTTTTCGTCCGTGCACGCTTCCAGGGTTCGCAAAGCTACGGTGGAACCCCTATTATTTCTCCATCATCAGACAACACTGACTTGCCTTTTCTTCCCGACCAAGCTGAAGTTTTGAAGAACATCCGATACGTATTTGCAATTAACTCATCCTAGGTCACCCTACTCTTCTATTCCTAATTGTCGTATACCCCTAATTATCGCCTACCCCCTGTTTATTTCTCACGTATTTGTTTATCTCCCGTCTATTCCCGCATGACTATACTATGGTGACTTATGTTTTCTCATTTCGATCGACAGTCTGCGGGCGCATTACTTACGCATACTTCATCTTTCTTATATCATCTACTCTCTTTGCTGTAATTTAAATTCGAGGTTTCCTTCAACGATCTTTAAAAGCTCGTACCATCGAAAGGCTAGTGGACTATGAAAGACTTTCACTATGGAACTTGAAGATCTCTTTTACTACGATCCTTCTTGGCGTATTATTATTTGTAAATAGTGTGGCGTTATACCGCAAACTAATATCGCCCGGCATATCCGACGGCACTATAATGCAATGCATGCCTTTAAGGTTACTTCTATCAAGCTATTTAAGCGAAGTTTAGACTATCTACCTCTTATACGAGACGCTAATAAGATATATAGGAATGTATAACTGTTGCTAATTGCCTATCCGATTTGGTTCCTTAATGTTTTTTACAATAGAATTTATTATCTACTTTATTAAGATAACCGAGACAGGTATATCTGCCGAGGTTATACAGTAATAGAAGATTATCTCAGAAAGGTTTATAATTAACTATTACGCTAACTAGGGCATAGATAAAGGGAAGAGACTGGAGGGATTAAAGGTTTAACCCAAGCCGGTCTAGTCTAGACTCTAGTCGCTTATTAAACCCTTTTTTATAGCCTATGATGCAGGTACTTTATCGTTAAGGCCTGCAAATTTCACGAGGAAATAGAGGAAAGCCTAACTGGATCTGATGCAGGAAGTAATGCAATTAACATTGGCCCTGTATTCACTTAACCTAGACTTAAGGATATTATAAACCTTTAGCTTGCTTAATAGGAAAACGAAAACTTAGTAATATTAAACCAGACTGGCTTTAATATAAACCTTTTATCTTCTGACCTGCGATATTAATCCCAGTGGCTTTAAGTCATAGAATAGCCCCGCTTCCTGGAGCCCTATAAATAAGAACTCCTATAGGTTACTGCTCTAGTTTTACTTCTAAACCTAGCCGAGTTGTATAAGCTAGGCTCTCTATGTTACGATCACAGCGGTTACATCACATATACCCCACAAATTTCCTCTAACTAACGCTAAGCTTACCCACGCTAAAGTAAGCCTCATAAAAGCTCACTTATGCATGCATAAGACCTACCCTATAGCTCACCTCTGACATCGTAAGCCTTTCTTTAAGGCTTACCACTATATATGTGACCCTTTATATATATATATAATCCTTTAGTATTAAGATAGGACCTAGCTTACTAGCTATTAATAAAATATCTTTACTTAAATATGCCTTACTTGCTCTATTTACTATTAAGAGATATAACACTTTGCTATACTTAATATTATAATGCCCTATATATCTGCTAATATAAACCTAGTATAGACTAGTTTATCCCTTAGGAATTATAACTATTATACTTATTTTTCCTTCTTTTATTTATATTATTAAGTATTAATATTTACTATAATATTAATAAGGTTATTTAGTATTTTTAGCTTAAGTTTAATATTAATTAATATATCTTTAATTTTATTCTTTAAGCCTAGGTATATTTAATCTATATAGGCTAATTTATTTTAATTAAGTTTAAATGCCTAATAGTAGTATTTTAATAGGTATACTGCTATAAATCCTATTTATTATAGACTATAAATCTTACTTTCTGCTTTTTATTTTTTATTTACTAGCTTAAATATATAAATAAGTTCTTATTTAAAGTTCTTATATTTATTATAGACTAGTTTAATTATATCCTTTTATTTATATCTAGGGTTATTAATATAGTCTTAAATAATTAATTCTATAAGTTTTTATACTTTGCCTTTAAAGAGGCTTATAGTATATTAGGTTTTTATTTTATTTATATTAAATTAAATAAAATAATATAGTTAATAACTATAGAGAGCTATAAGGAATCCTTAGAGTTATTTAATATTTCTATTATAAGAATTAAGTTATCTAGGCTATAGGATTTCTCCGGGTTCTTTTTTTATTATAATAAGGATAATAGTATATTTAAGTAAAGATATTTTATTAATAGCTAATAAGCTAAGTTTTATCTAGTGCTAAAGGAATTTATATATACTTAGGGAGGTATAAAGGGAATAATACAGTCCTAGAGCGCTATCAGTCTACATAGGTGTTAGTCCTATATTAGTTAGTTAAGTTCATAGGTTAGTATAGAGAAAGGATAGAGGAAAGTAGTGTATATGTGATATAACCGCTAGGATTATAACAAGTAATAAGATGCCAGTTATTATAAACTTCCTAGCCAGTGCTAGATTTAACTATTTACCGTCGTATAGTCGAGGCTATAAGCTTCGCTTTCTGAATCCCAGTGACACTTTCAGCTCTTTCCATGATTGAAAGAACCCAATTTCTCAAAGTATGGCTGGCTGTGTGCGCTGTTCCTGCAATATAAAGCGGCCATAACAGATGTATAATACAAGAGGCCCGCAGGTCGCTCGATTTGCCTGTCTTACCACCAGAGTGGAGGATATATAGAACGCTAGAGCATATTTCAACAGAACTCTTCTGTATAATAGTGTTTGAAGTGTGAAATAAGTGCTCGTATGACAAAGGTAAGGACGGCACCATTGACGGTGAAGACGGTGTGTGGAAGTGTTTCGATATCGCTTCAATAAGCGTCTGGCGGAGAACTATACGTGTACAGCGTTGCAAGTTCCACGTGTGAGCGAAGTCCCTGTTGGAATATCCGTCATAACGTCCCATGAACACTTCCGCGTCTCCCATGCCGGCCGGACTGGTTAGAGCCGTGTACTTGTACTCTGCTGGGAGAGTTTTAGTCCAGTCCTCTAGGTCAGTATCAATCGACAAGAGTCTCGAAATATAGCAAGACAAATTCGTTTTGTTCGTGGTATCCTTCTTCGCTGAAGATAGAAGATCACAGATGTTGACGACTATGTTTGCCAGTCGAGCAGCAGGTGCTTCTTGTGCTGACTCATAATTTCGAGCCTCGGCCATTGAGTTCACCAATATGGTTGGTACTTGTAGCCTGCGCTGGAGGCAGTCGATTAGCTGTCGAAGGATCAGAATCATTAATTGTAGGATACATTCAAGGTATCTCACTATTTCAGTGCGTAAATGGAGGAAAATACCTCGACCGACCCTGTTGCGCAACTGACTTGCTCCTCGGAGCCGTATTAGTGCCAAGGCACCATCGACATGTCGATTCCATGAACTTGAGTTATCATTGGAATTGAGAGTTATTTTCTGGTTAAAAATCATTTAATACTTGTCCATTGCATGAAAGGCTTACTTCATATAATGCTAGAAGCATAATAGCGACTATCAACTGGTCGGATGCTGCCTCACCAGGGTCTGCGAGCGCCGCGCGTATACCGTGAAGTGCACGCGAAAACGCTTGAGTTGCTGCATGAATGAACGTGGGCGCATGTCGTATGTAGGCTAGACTTACTAGTCCCACAGCGTTGACGAGATTGGCCAGATATCCGGGTTCTGTCGCTCGTTTGTAGATGATACCATGGCAGTCAGGATTAGTTTGAGTTTGTCCGGACTCGCACATAACATAATGGTGGAAGAAGAAATTCTGAGCCTGTTCTTCATGTGTGACTGAAATCTTGTACCAAGGGTCATGGTTGGACCACTGTTTGTACTGGTGGACTTTGACCTGATGTGATCTTCCAGATATTAATGCGCCGCTCCGGTCATCTGTGACGACCGAGCTCTTGCAAAATGTCTCGGTAGTTTGATCTTGGAAGGCGAGTAAGTTGCCATCTCGGTATCCATCGCATCTAGAACCAGCCCTGACGCACGGACGACATGCCGGTCTTGAAAAGTCGCACTTAACCCCGAATCAGGTTAGCATCTCAGCTACGGTCTTGCAATGACGTGGTGGAATATTGTACTTTTCGCCTCTTTATCCGACATTCTGAGCAAGCCCTGCTGGGCTTACCACGATACACCATGTTAACTCACAGCGTCACTTGTCTGATGGCTTCGAAGGCGGGGTCGAAGTAGTGATGCGAGGTGGTGAATGTTATATTCTTCGTTGCTTTGTAATCATTGAAACTAAGCCCAGACTAGCATTAGCTTGAATATTTGTCGAGCTGGTTACTGAATTCGGCATAGCAAGATCTGTCTCGGGATCAGCGGCTTGCCATGACTCTGGGTCTAAAATAGAGAGTTAGCGTCTTGCCAGAATCCATATCATCGAGTTGTATACCACTCTCGGTAATTCGAGATTTTTTTCACACCATGAGATGCGGTAGCTACGTAGCTTACCTTATTAAGGCAACGACTACTTAAAGCATCTTGATCCTCTTTTAGGCATGGCTACTACCAAACATTCAATTTATAGTATCCCCTATTCACTTTCAACTTGCCACTTCCTTTTCTGTTCCATACATCAACCATACGCTTCCAAGATATGTTTCAGACTATCGCATTTGTCACTGGATCAACTGGCCAACAGGGCGGTGCTACTGCTCGCGAGCTTCTGATTGCCGGGGTCAAAGTTCATGCACTTGTTCGAGATCCGTCATCCAAGTCCGCCATGGAGCTTCAACGCTTGGGGGCGCATTTGTTTCCTGGGAATTTCGATAACCTATCCTCTCTGACGACTGCGATGAAGGGCGCTACCGCCGTGTTTCTAAACGTGTCGCCATCGCGTCCTGACACCCATCAAGAGGTGATTCATGCGAAGAATATCATCGACGCTGCTGTTTCATCCGGAACAGTCACTAGCATTGTCTATTCCAGTGTATCAATGACAGGAAAGCACGAGAGCTTCCCACACTGGGGACTTGAGCACCCCATGGCGTGGTATTGGCTAAACAAAGCTCAAATCGAGTCAATGGTGCGAAATTCCGGCATCAAGAACTGGACCATTCTGCGACCTGCATTTCTCATGAACAACTATCACCAGCCTACGGCGTCTCACATGTTTCCTGACCTGGTCCAGAAACGAGTCTTTCTTACGGCATACAATCCCGATAGTGGGATGACAGTCGTTGATCCCGGTGACGTTGGGAAATTTGCAGCGGCTGCAATTATTGACCCTCAGTCTTTCAACACTCATGAAGTCGACCTGGGTGTTGAGTCTCTTACACCGGTTCAGATTGTTCGGGAGCTCAGCCGAGTTAGTGGGGCGAATATTAGTCTCCAGTTCTACAGCGACCAGGAGGCAAAAGACCTTGCTTTGCGAAACCCTGTCATAAATGCTCAACTGTGGTCAAATGAAGTTGGGTACCAAGTCGATTTCAATAAACTGGATAAGTATCCAATTAATTTAACCAGATTTGCAGAATACCTTAAAAAGCATCGAGATGAGGTTTTACAGACATTTAATTAAAGTTATCCCAAGACAAATGGGGTATTAATAGCTAGGGTTAGGATAGGGTGGTATTAACTATCTAAGCTATCTGCCCAGTTGCTTTTCTAGGGGCTATATATAGTATAAGGAAGGGAAATAACTATAGCTATAAGAGAGATATAAGGAAAAGGAAAGATGATAAGACTATAATTACTATAAGGTATTAAAAAAGAAGGAAAATAAGGCTAGCTATAGGTAAGGAAAATAAAGGAAATAAAGAAAAGAAATAAAGTTTAGGTTAGGATAGGGTAGTATTAACTATCTAAGCTCTATTTGCCCAGTTGCTTTTCTTCTACTATACAGTATAAAAGATAGGTAAGGAGAGAGGTATAGAGTATAAAACTAGGAGAATAAGTAAAAGGCTTTAAAGAGAGATACGAGATATAGAAAAGCCTATAAAAGAGAGATAGGAAATAAGGAAATAAGAGGAAGGAGAGAGAGAGAAGAGGGATAGCTATAGAGGAAGAAGGTAAGAACTAGGAAATAAGGATAATATAAGAAAAAAGAAAGGAAAAAGGATAGAAAGAGGAAAGGTATTATAACCTAATAGATAACTATATAGGCCTTCCTATTTTTACTAATTATAGCCTTAACTGCCTATACTAGCTTAGTTAAACTATAAGCCGCTAAGATCTATAACTTATAGTTTATAATAAGACTTATAATATAAGCCTAATACTTAACTATAAGCTATTATAAGTATATATATATTTACTTAGTATTAGTTAATATATTTAGCTTAATAGCTATTAATAAAATATTTTTACTTAAATATGCCTTACTTACTCTATTTACTATTAAGCAATATAACACTTTATAACCGCTTAGTATTATATGCCCTATAACTCTGCTAATATAAACTTAGAATAGACTAGTTTATCCCTTGGAAAACCTAACTATTATATAATTATAGTAAAAGATAAGCTAGTATTAGCTATATTTAACTATAGATTTTTATATTTATTTTCCCTTAGGATCTTTTTTTATAATATTTAAGATATTATATAGAAAGAAGAGTTACTTTGTATATATTATTATTAGTTAAGGGGTAACGTTATAGAGATTACTTTCCTTTATAATCTAAGCTATTTAATATAATTAATAGAGGTAAAAGCACTTATTATAATAGTTATAATATTTAGTTATACTTAGGGAAGAGATAATAAAGAAATTTATATATATATAAGAGAGTTAAGTATAAAGTTTAAAAAAACTAAGTAAAAGCTTATACTATAGTTGATATAATAAAGTTATATAACCTTCTCTATATATATGCATTATAACTATGGTAATTTTAATAGTATTTTTAACAGGAAAAACTAATATATAATATACTAAAAAGAGAGATAGTTTTAGCAAGAAATTTATTTTAATAATAAATAACTATAATTGAAAATAATAACTAAAGTCTTTTTAAATCTCTTTTTGATTAGCAAAAGCACAATGGATTTATACCCCAATAATTCATCATGGAAAAATAGTGTCAGACCCCATCTATCAACGAACTGATCAACTGTCTGACAAGGGTGGTTACAGAATATAACTAGGATGGGATGGACTCTGACTGGACCAAGGCAAAGGATGGTTATGGAACCATTCATTTCCATGAGGATGATCTTGATGATGCCTGTTGGGACACAAACTTCTCTGTTACACTTCATAAGGCCCTTTGACTTGCTATATACGCTGTTGAGGTAGAGTCAGTTAATGGCAGCGCGAAGGATATCATTTCTTTCTTTGTCTGACCTACAGCAGCTAAAAGCCAACAATCATGTGCCAAGGTTGCGTATATACTTCCCACCTTTAAAGTAAGCCAGAAGAACATGGAATAGTCAAGGGCTCTAGCTAATCCACGTCGGAGTATCTTTCTTATGCAAATGAACACTCTTACCCTGCACGAGATGAAATTTCTCATAGCAGAGAGATCAAAAGATAACTGGCTTGACAAATTTTGCAGCACAGATTTACCATATACGCAAAGCATCGGAATCGCCTCAAACCCAAATAAAGAATACTAGTCAAGAGCAAGACTTTAATATGATTTGGATGCCGAGAATAATTGGTATAGTATCATTCACTACAACAGAGTTTAAATGAATTGGTTAGATGTCATTCGAAAGAAACGGAAATTCCATAAACGACGTCATTTCCATAGCAATTGGAGTGCAAATTGAAGATCGTATTTTAATATGATCATACTCCATTAAACTGCGACAGATCAACAAGATCATTTATCGTATAACAAGAGAACGACCTTTTTATCCCGACCAAGAACTAAAAATTCCCACCAGGTTCGTCGAAAGGCCCACGTGGGTTAAGTTATAAGAGCTTGCATTACGTCGTAACATCGATCAAAGTACAATTGATCAACAGGATCGTCTGATCGACTGTCCTTTACGAGGTAACTATAACAAAATAGCTTAGAACAATAAATATGCACGGGGTAATACGACCTATAGTTTCGTATCTCGAGAATAACCTTAGCTACTTTAGGTACTTGATCCGCAGGAAGAGCCGAATGGGACAGTATCTAAAAAAAACGAGCTTATGATTGGGTATGTAAGGATGGGACTAAGCTCAGCTGAGTTAGAGATATGCCCCCCTAGCTGAAGGATGGTCGGGTTCCCCAGGTCTCGAAGGGGCCGGAACTTGCAGGCGCAAAGAGCACTGATAATTTGCAGTGGCAATTAATGAGATATATGCTTAGATTATTCTGTCGCTATAAGAAGATCGTTCTCGACCTTAGACTAGTACGAGTGCTATCTGACACACTTGCCTTGCGGTAGTATCATATCCCGGAATGCAGGTTCGGTGACAGCGACAGTAGACCTTGACAATTCGGTGCTCATGAGGCGACTGAACTAATGAAGTCATGAGTCTATTAATACTTTTGAGAATTCTATAAAGACCCCCAGAATAACCCATGATAATTCGAGTCTCTCATTATTAACAACCACTTTCTCAAGCCTCTTACTACCAATTACAAACAACTTTCTTCACTTCTTCTACATCAACCACATACTCTTCCACCACGAAACCAATCTCAGCCATTAAAATGAAGTTCACCGCTGCCCTCATTGCTCTCGTCTCGGCCACCGGCGTTGTCGCTGCTCCCGCCGCCGATTCCATCTCTATGATGGCTGCCTCTCCCCAGTGGACAATCAAGAGCCTTAACCGCGTTTGCGATAAGACCGACTCTACCTGCACCTGGAACTTCAAAATCAACACTGGCAGCGGCTCTGATACTCCCTGCAAGTACGTCATCAAGGCTAAGAACGCCTCTAAGGCCAATGGTGGCCCTATCAAATGCGGTACCTTTACTATTACTTCTGGCTGGAGCGGCCAGTTCGGTGCCGATAAGGGTTTTACTACTGTCTCTGTTGTTAGCAATCAGAAGCAGATTATCTACCCTAGCTATACCGATAAGCATCTTGCTGGTGGCAAGGTCATCAAGCCTGACCAGAAGTATGCCCCTGCTGCTCTCCCATAAGCTGGGATATTCAGATATGAGAGGGAAAGATATATAGGGAGTAATCTAGCGGAGGAATGCTGTAACTGATAATCCCAATAATATAGAAGGTAGATCAGATGTATATATCTCTTGTATAGAATATAAGTTGTAACCTCCGATTTTATTCTGTGATTACAACCGTGATATATAAAACTTTATTTAAGTTTTAAGAGTAGAAATGTATTTTATATACTGCTTTAAACTAGCTATAGTTTAGTATCTTTACCTTATAAACCCCTAATAAAATGCAATGTGTTTTTTATAGTATACTTTTAAAATATAAGAAACTAAATTTTAAATTATATTATATTCTTATTACCTAACCTCTGCTAAGTTTAACTAAATTAATTTATTCTTAAAGAAGAGTATTTCAATATTATTTATCTGGCTTTAAATATCTATTATTATTATTTAATATTTAAAAGTATAAATATCCAGATAGAGACTATATTAGCTTTGTTTAAACCCCTTGAAGTATACGCTAATTCAATTGGCTAGTGTTTTTAAATTAACGTTGCTAATGCGGCTGCTACTAGTATAAAATCCTTCTTCTTCATAGTGTATCATGCGGTCTTCATTTTTGCACGGCTGTCGGAAGTTTAAACTGGAGCAAGGATGGGAACCTTTGTGCAAGTTTCTTGGGAAGAACGTTCCGAATGTTGAGTTTCCGAGAGTGAACGAAAGTACTTGGTTTGACGAAAAAGCAAATATCTTATTGAAGCGGGGACTCAAAGATGGTGCTATCAAGGCTTTTTCTTGGGTTGCCGCGATCGCTTGCGTCTGGTACTGGTGGTATGCGTCACACCGAGTCAAATGGCATATAACTTATTATAGCAGCAACTACTTCTGACGCCTATGTTTATTTGTTGTCCTATTTAGCAAATTATTATTATCCGCCTAATGAATCTCTTAGATTATAATACTATTTTCAATTTGATTGTTAGTTTTACGGAAAAAAGATAATAAAAGTTTTCAAGTAATATTGACGCAAATGCACTCTTCCAATCGTAAATAATAGTAGTTATCGAGTACGTCATCGTTTCCTAAATCGGTCGATCCGGGTAAACTAAGATCCGCTCCCAATTCAGTCTGTGGTTTCTAATTGGCTAGCTTACGATAAGTAAATACTCGCATGATTATATGCTGACGACGCTATTCCGAAGCACCCGTGACTCGGCCGCTGTAGGCTTCTTTTTAATACACACACATTGGAACCTTCAACCTTTTTTAACAACACTCATCACAAGGTTTTGATTGATTTTACCGACACAACGTCCGAAAACTTCATTGATACTGTACAAATGCCTGAACTGGCGACTCACGATAATGGCCGCCATTGGCCTCTTCCTTTGAAGCGAATAGGCCGCTGGCTAACCACTGTGACACACTACATGAATCATCAACGGACACCAATCTATCCTCTTAACGTCTGGCTCTGTGTTCTTGTTCTCTCTATAGTGAAATTTGCGTCCACTATACTGCTCGCCTATCCTTGGCCGAAGCTCTTGGCAGCCGCTGTCTGCCGATATCACTACGAAAACAAGTTCTCTAATCCTCATATGGATCCTCCAAACTCAGTTTGCGCATCCGGGGAGGTAACAATGCATTTCGAGTATATGATGGATTTGCTGAACATTTCATCATCACTTGCCTGTGAGAGATGAAACAACAAACACTATTTAGGCGTATTCTGATCTGTTATAGCTATTGTGGTACAGATCCCGATGGGGATTCTAGTAGACAGGGGAAATAGACGTCTTGCTTTTACACTTAACATCATTAGCATTGTTTTATACTGGGGCTCTATTCTAATCTCTGGTAATGACTTCTTTTCTTCGTTTGATACCATAATCTAGCTAACTTCCACAATAGGACTTGTGCCAGTTTTCCCCCTCTGGTGCTTCTATCTATCGCCTGTCCTTCTTCTCTTGGGGGGCGGTCCTTTTGTAACCGGCACTCTGGTCTGTTCTACCATAAGCAATAGCGTGAAACCGAGGCATAGGTACGACTTGGCTTCCCCTAACCTTGGTGTTGCCATATTAATCTGAGGACTCTAGAACAACCGTGTTTTCACTCGCGGAAGCCTTATCAGTCATCTGGAACTGTTTTGAGCCAACTCTCATGACATCAACAATGACCATTCCCCTCTGGTTGTCGTTCATGATCACCATTGTTATGCATGCGTTGCTTTTCATTCCGGCTTATTATCTCACGGAAGACGACAACGCATCTCTAGAAGATGATTTACTACTTGAGGTTTCTGTATTCCGCGATGAGGTAGAGCCGTTACTGGATGCTAGTGATATTCTTGGCCGCGAAGTCATCGATTCGAACCAGTACATTAAAGGTGGACTTACTTCAAAGCTCACCATCCTCACAGTATGCTTCGTTTGCTTCTTTTTAGTCAACTTTGCGACAGGCTCAATGGGTTTTATGTTCAGTTGGATCTTTTGGCGCATTCCTGAGATCTGGAGTGAGATAAGTGGGAAATCTATCACGATGTCCCAATGCTTATTGACAATACATCAGATCAAGCTGTTGTCTTATCTGAGAGCAATAGTGGCATCACCACTGTTCTTTATCGTCTTACCATTGGCCTTACGCCGGCTGGACAGAACCATGCACTTCGCTAAGAGGGATCTCGTACTGTCCACAGCTGGTATTGCCTGCGCTGCGGTCGGCACTCTTCTCGCTTCGTTCGCTTCAAACATTGTAGTCATTCTCATCGCGTTTGTTATAACTCTGCTGGGATCAGTCATGTCTGTGGCTCTGCGATCATTTCTCACTTCAAATGTCGAAAATCAATTTTCTGGGCGGTTATTTGCTGGCATCTCCATGACGGAGACTATAGGTAGTCTTGTGGGGGCGCCAATCATGCATAATGCGTACACACCGGACGGGCTCCCATTCGCTGTATCAATGGTATGTAGCGACTGACGTTGGACTTCGGGCGAAATGAAACAAGCTGACATAAATTAGGCATCTTATTTATTAGTATGTGGATTACTAGTTTGGTTAGCCAGAAAGGTTCAAGGACATACAGTGCGACTTGATTAATTACATGAATGGTTAATACGCAAGAGCACTATATCTGAGATAAGAATCATAGTTATAATAATAAGGTTCTAAGACCGAGATAATATACCCTCTTTATCATCTATGCCCTTAAATGCATACCTATTCTCTGGAGCCAGTGCCATCCTTTCACCTTCTTAGGCTCAATTAAGCTATGCTGGCTGGTTTTCCTATTTTGAAAAGCATTATGTTTAAGCTTTTGGAGAGGCTTATCTAACAAACATTTAGTTTTAGGTCCATCATTACTTCCATCATGAGGTATTGTGCTGTTCGATATTAGACTGTCAAGGTCTGTGTCGACGACTAGTGGTATGTTGCCGTCGTGCGAGAATGCTGGAAGGTTACGGAGAAAGACTTCCCAATCCTCCTTTTTCAAGATCGGTGAGGTCACCCATCGAGACGCTCGAGTCTTCGTCAATAGAGAGTCCAGCTGAGGAAGTAGCGTTCTCACGGCCTCTGCGTGAGATTTATGCATCGAAATTGTAGATAGTCTCTTAGTCTCGATATACCATCCTGGGTTTTGCAATATACATTCTGCCTCAAACCACTTTAAGGCAGCAAAAAAAAAACGAGGTCTGATGATTCTGCGGCTTCGTAGGCCATACGGTGTCCGATTGCCGTAACGAGCGAACTACATCGGGGAAGAATGAGTTCGTTGAAGGCGTTGTTGCGATTACTGGCAGAGCTAGTCATAATCTTTCTAGACACCGGAGATGCTTCTTTCCAAAGAGAAGCCTCATGTTGCGCGAGAAGACCTTTTGTATTTTTAGCATTCGGAAGTTGATATCGGTTTAGCAGCAGCTCCGAGACTAATCCTGGATGTTCGGGTCAGCTGATGAAGCATAAAAGATTTTCAGCCGCAAAACCTACGAATGCAAAGAACTAGCTTATCTCCATCTGCTATTGAGCTTCCTCTTATGCACATGACCATTTCAATCATTTGATTATGCGCGTATAGCCCTTGCCAACCACATCTGTCATTGCACAATGCCTCGGCCGCGGATGACACAGTCTGTTTGTAGACGCACGTCAATCCGGACTAGACTCTCGAGTTTTCACTGCCGAATGATTCATATAGTACCCGCCCAAAGGCCTCGAACACCGAAGCGGATGCCAGCGCTACCAGAATAGGTGTGTGCTAAGTTGAAAATGTGATGATAGGCACCCTTTGGATCGTACTCATACCGGCAACTGTTATTCTTTGACTATATCAGCCCGCAATGAACGCTATCAGACGTAATACTGGTATGTTCCCCATTGATGATGACAATGTACCTGTTGTTACGCGCTGAGTATGTCTTGAGAACTCTTTGCGGGGGTTGTCAGAACTTGAAGCATCTTCCAAAAGTACCCAAGGCTCAAGGTACACATGGTGGAATGTGGTGACGGCGTGATCAACAGGTTTGGGACCTGGACGCGAGGGTAAGAGTCTCGAAATGACACCAGGAGACATAGTCCCGTCGTCCTGATTGATCCGGACAATAAAAGGACGAACACCACGATTTACACCATCGGCGGTAAGTTGTGCGAATACAACAGCCAGACGGGGCATTCCGGCTAGTAGGGTAGTGGGAGGCATGATCTTTGCTGCGCGGGAGACTGGCGTGTGCAAGTCGAAGGACCCATCTGAATTCATGGTGGCAGTGGTCTCAATATTTCGTGCATCAAGGCCATGGCCTACTTCACTGAGCATGAATTCCCCCACAGACTTGAATTCCTGCAGTTCTTGGAGTATAGACTTGACAGTGGGATGCGCATCCGGATATGAGGCTATGGTTCCTATGCAGAGGTTCCAATGTATCGTCAAGATAACATAGACTGCCGTGTCTGCGGTCACCATATCTGTATTGGTCAGCGTTGCATTTTTAGTGTAAATTTGAGGATATTAACTCATAGTTCAGATTAAACCCCCAAAATTTCGGGCTCGGCCCCTTGATATCCTCAACTGTCATGTCGACTTGCTTGGCAAGTGACTTAGCTCGAGCGTATGAAATTTATATCTTTTGGAAGGTTGAATCATCATCAAAATAAGCTTGGGTCTTCCCCTCAGCTGTGTCAGGGAGTCCGGCGTCAGTTGGGATGCGATCCATGGTGTCGATTGTATTATTTGTAGCATACGAACACTGATTGATTGTGTAGAAAGCCTCTTCCATGCTGGAATTGAACGTCTCAATAGATCTGTGAAGGTATCAAGGCTTAAAAATTGATTCATAGATATCAGTGTGCGATAATGTCTTTGATCAGGGGCACATTATTAGAATACAATACATTAAAAATTATGAAGTGAGTTAGCCTGAGAAGTAATTATCTCCGGTCTTAATTGGTATATGATGTCTCGGCTTTATTAAACATAAAAGAATGTACTTGATTGATCTACATTTATAGCCTATGATATGTAAGGGCGCATATGAAAGTTATAGTTTCAGCAAGTAGAATACAGAAAATAATAATTTTAGATGTTATCATAGTACATAAGATAATTTTTACTAGTGAAACATGTCTCAATTTAATTAATTTATTTATGCCCTCTAAGTAATGCTATGCGTTAGTGATTCGTTAAGCGGCTAAGTTACACTTTAGCTTTAATGCATTATGCATTACTCAACGATGATCGCTATAACCGTCACTTGAAATGATAGAAACTGGCATTCCATACTATTAATTAATACCTTATATATAACATATCAACTGCGGTGATTTCTAACGGCTAATTGAATATCATCGTGCTGCAATGTAGCTCTACCTATTATTCCACAAATGCATGATATAAGTTTTAATCCCAACAACTGCAACTGTTCAAGAAGCCAAATCTCTTGTCGTTAATCTGCCGTTTAGTCATACGAAAAAGCTCGCCATATCTATTATATTGACCTATGATGCCACTGCTAAGTAAAAAGAACTGTGTTCTGTATTATCATCATTAGAATAGACGTCCCTTGCTTTAAAGAAAGTTATAGATTAAACCTCACATAGGTCATAGGATAAGAAACAGGAGTCTCAGTCTTGTAGCCATGACATCGTTGTAACAAACACCCATGCCAATAACCAGCTCCCTTACATGTTTCGACAGCAACAGAACGGCTTGATGATAACCGACATCTCCTAATCTCGTCACTCGGCGGTAAAAACCCTGAGGTGAATACGTTGATTCAATCACTACAACCAGTAGATTCAGTCACAGGTTGGAATCTGATTTTCAGCAATTCGACCTTTCACTTCTCCAGCCTCCCTGTTAAGCAGCAGGAAAGATCAATACTTGAGAGTGTAATATTTTTAGTACCAGAACTATACTATGACTATTGGATGCAGCTCGGGGCTTAAATGCATGTCTCATTTTCTGCCATATGTGCATATATGTGCCATGTCTCAGCGTGCCGTGTCTTATATCCTGCACCATTTTAGGCGCGAAGATGCCATAATTAAATGGCATTTAATGGACACAGTTAATGGATGGTATGGTTAAGTGAAACTCCCTTGAACGGCGCTAGCGCTCTAATGACTCGATTTCTAACCAGGATACTTCTCGGATTTTAAATACAGAGACAATATGCCTTAAGATATAAATCCGAAATTCGCTTATATTACAATTAAAACAATCTCATAGATAAGACGCTGTAAGTTAAGATCTCAACAAGGTACTGCATTTTAAATTGGTTTATATTGAAAAGGCATTCATATTTATATAGTTTCATAATGGGTACTATGTATTTAGTAGTTTCTATTGCGCCTTATTATAAATAACCATAATATAAATCTTTCCCGAATACCACAACAGTTTAGGCCCAACCTACAGTTTTAAGCTTCTAATCACTTTTCCCTTTCCTCGGGGCTCCTTTATAGCAAGCGTCTGTTATATAGTGACTGTTTGGGTTTTCTCTCGATTCTTATAGCTTTCTATAATAACACATAAGAGAATGAACAGTGAAATATAATTGCCTCTTGTCGCCCATTGGAATCTGAAAATTGCTGGAATGGTGCGTCGTGGCTATACTCAAGGCAACGAGCAGTTGTTTCGCCATGCCAATTCGTCCTCGAACGTTAGGATCTAACCCGGCTAGCCATATCCACAAGAAAAAAGAGAAAAAGGCATGAGTTATCATCAAATGATGATAGATGACAAATTGAAATATAATAATTAAGATGTTGATTATTAAAGCAGAGAATTGGCAGTTAGAGCTACTTATAGGAAAACGCGATTGATACTTCCAAATGGCTTTCCTATCATCACATGACCTGAAAGGCAATGTCACGTAAGCCACAGCCCTTTGTATCATATGTGCACCTATCTCTCACGAGCATTTCAGAACGCGCCAAGAATTAGTCTCGAACTACACGAATTGAAACGGAGAGATGGCTGTGCTGAAAATGGCGGCGAAGAAACACAGCAGGAATGTTCAGCATCACTTCCAACTTGATTTGTCTTCTTCCTCAATCTGCCTATGTTTTCAACCATAGAGTAGTATCTCTCATCCTTTCCTAATCCAAAAGTATGTATAGCTCCAACGTTCCCTCATATGGTGGGTGCCCAGTTTATGCGTATGGGTTGCCTCAAAGAATCCGACCTCAACTCAAATAGGTGTTCAGGGGCACAAGGGTTATAAATTGTATGAACAACTGTGTCCAAGTCAAGCACACCAAAGACGTTTTCCGTTTGCAAGGAAGGTAGGGGGTGCCTATGAGGATCAAGTTCAGACAGGAGGCAATTAGCAAAAGCAATGTAATATCGTTCCACTGTCTGTGCTCAGGACGACCCTGGTCGAGCTGATATTTAACGGGCTGTTTCTGGCTATCTCAGCCTCTGCAACACTCTTGCCAATACCCGTGCTGTGGCTGATTTATAGTGGTGGCAAGGTTATACATGGTAACCAATGAGCGATCGTCTGTTACGTTTTGAGGGATGAGGCGATCCGACTCACATAAGCGAGAATTATTGGGCTTTATCTTGAGACAACCTGTATTAGCTGTAAGAGTCATGCCAACTGATCTAAGAGGGATTCGCTATTTTGGAGATGGTCTGGCCCCGGCTATGAAATGAGTTTGAGAATCTAGACTCTTTTCCAAAGTCTCTGGTATCACTGAATAGCTGTATCTAAGCGCGTGACTGATTCAAACTTTGGTTCCCGGATTAATATAAGAAGCTGTCACGACAGCTTCGATCATCTTCATGCATCCTTCTCTTACCGCATAAGAAACCCGATTCATCCACCGGCAGATCTAGCTATCATCCCCGCTACCAATCAGCAGTCAGCATTGTCTCCTGCGTCAGACAAAAACCTACATCTAGTCTCATCTTATGGTACACCAGATCGAAATCGAGATCCAAATCGAGATTGTATAAAATGATGTCCCAGGTCTCTGCACGTAGCATGGAACCTTTACGGGCTTATGACCAGCGGTGTGAGCCGTTCTGTCGTCCCTATTACTCTTGTGCTCCCAAATTCTCACTCTGTACCTCACCATCACCTGATTCGTATTCAGCCGACTGCACCTGCGTCATACAGACCCTTACTCCTTTTCGGGAGGCGTACGACCCTGTCGGCTGTCATCCAGTCCCGTGCGGCCCTCTTCGTCCTCAAACCCGCCGCACAATCTCTACACCCAATATCAAGCTCAAGTCTCGGGCAACGCAATGCACTAGTCTTTTTGTCGAGAATCAAAGGCAAAGCATCGTCACTACTCGAGATCATATCCAAACGAGCCTGGCCAAGAATTGTACTCGCCCAAGTACCGAACGAAACAACAATACTGAGTTTGATAACTGCCCTGCTTTCGATTCATCAAGTGAGACAGGACCATCCAAGTCACGCTGGTCTCAATCCTCTTGCCAAACCTTCGGCTCCAGCCATAATTATGATGACGATTCCGATACTGCTACAGAAGGTTCCGATGAAGAGGAAAACACCAATTTCTGTTATTTTAATGCATGTCAAGTCGCATCACACACAATGCTATTAACCCCGACTCACGTTGACATTGTATGGACAAGTCGATCGGATTCAGATCAACAATATGCACGGGAAGACTTCGAAAGTTCAACTCGGTATAGAGAACGTAAAAGATGGGGTACTGTGTTCTCGTATGAGGAGATTAACTATTTGAAATCATTGGCACTTATATAGATTCTATAACGCTAACTTTCAATAAGTTTACTTTATCGACCTGGCATAAGCTGCAAGATTATGCGCTTTAGGTCTACTGCTATAGTATATAGCTATTACACTATTTATAATAAACTCACTACTGATTTAATAATTCTATAAAAAGCCTCTGAAGTGTATAAAGGCTAAGTGAAAGCATTTGCTAGCATAGTTTATTAATAGTGATATTAAACATAGCCTTGAAGTAAATGTCGCTCAAATAATAAGTATAGTGGAGTAAAAACCCGGATAAGACTTATTACTAACGGTATATTGAGCTCCTCTAGAAGATATTCAATATTCTGAATTTACTATTAAGCCCATTAGATAGTGTTGATAAGGAAAGGCAATAACCACAACACGGCTAAATAAGCCGTTTACCTTGTAGCAAATAGGGGAGTATACCAGCTAACACGGTAAATAGTGCAATACTTATCCATGTAGCTCAATTGTAAAAGCCACTATTATCATCCGTTACTATTCCTCATTAACAGTCTTAAGCCTTCAGTCTTGGATATTTTACCCCGCAGATCCGGCTAAGCATTATCCACCGTATACACACTTATTAAAGTTCATTCTACTGATTCAGCAAGTACCGTATCTTGAAAACCCAGACTAGAGCGATTGGCGGTTTCCCCGCTTATCCGGGTTGCTGTAGTACCGTAGGTGAAGATAAACCTCTACAGGGAATGTCATCTGATGATAGTGACTAGTGACAGTAGCTTAGAGATTAAGCTGGAATGGCCCAACAATGGAAAACATACATCAACCCATTGATTCACCCTTCAGTTTATAACACTCACATCGAATCCCTTTATCTGTATTGCTTGGATCCTACGTACCTAGTAAATAGTAAAAAGCTAGGAAGAATATACCGGGGCCTTAGTCTTTGTATCAACGATGGCCATCTTACGGTTGCGCGGCAAGCCCATAACTGGATACAATTTCCTGGTAAGAATCCCAACATTTCCCCAAAAGCTCTCTTTACTGCACGGATAGCTTACTGTCGTGTCGTTAGATTATTGCTTTTGCCACCTTTGGAAGCATCACATATGGATACTGTTCCGCCATTATTGGATCAACCCTTGGACAACCGTCTTTTCTTAGCTTTTTCGGCCTTGACACTGCCAGCAATGGACCTGCTCTGATTGGTGCCATCAATGGCCTTTTTCAAGGAGGAGGGCTTTTGGGCACATTGATGTTTGGGGCGCTGGCTGACAAGACTGGTCGTTGTAAGGCTATGTTCTGTGCAAGGCTACTTGCCGTCATTAGAGGAGGCCTCCAAGCAGGATCTGTTCATCTGACTATGTATCTTGTCGCTCGATTTGCCACGGGGTTCGCTGTCGGTGGCCTTGTCATGATCGTCCCCCTCTGGCAAAGTGAGGTCGCCCCTCCACATGCTCGCGGTCTTCTGGTTGGTCTTCACGGCATTTCCATCTTGCTAGGCTATTCATTATCGGCCTGGGTCGGGTTTGGATTTTTCCTCGTCAATGCCGATGGGGCTCAGTGGCGCCCTCCGCTGGCTTTGCAAAGCTTTCCACCGCTGATTTTGGTCCGTGGCGTCTACTTCATTCCTGAATCCCCTCGCTGGCTTGTTGAGAAGGGTCAGCACGAAAAGGCAGACACTATCCTCCAAAGTATTTATCAAGACTCCGAAGACTCAACCAATGAAGAGGTATCTGTCGAATTTGCTCAGATCCGCGCCCAGGTGGAACTTGAGCGTGATCTGCCGTCATCTTGGTCTTCCATCTTGACAGTTCCTCATTATCGAAAAAGGGCATTTATCGGATTCACCACGCTTCTGGCCGGTCAGCTGACAGGAACCACCGTCATCAACAACTACGGCCCATCGTTGTATGTGGCCCTTGGCCATGGCGGCTCCGACAGTCTCGCCCTCTCTGCTGGCTGGTTGACTGAGGGACTTGTGTGCAACGCCATCAACGCAATACTTCTCGATCATGTTGGACGTAAATGGCTCATGACGGTAGGCCTCATCGGTTGCGCAGTTTCGCTTCTTGGCGTCGGCGTCATGGTCGCATTGTATGGCGGCACTAATAGCAAGGGCGGCAATGGAGCGGGTGTTTTCTTCCTTTATCTTCATCTTACCTTCTATCCTACCTGCATGGATGCTTCTACATACGTTTACGGCTCTGAAATTTGGCCTACCCACCTTCGAGAAAAAGGCTTTGCAATTTCCTGTGCCGGTCTCTTTGACGGGTCACTTACATTGTTGGAAGCCGCGCCTACTGCTTTCCAAACTATCGGTTGGAGATTTTACCTGATCATGATGGCCTTCACCATCATTTGTGCCATCATATTTGCGCTTTACTTTCCCGAGACTAAGGGTCTCGCGCTCGAGGACATTGCATCTCTCTTCGGTGATGAAGTTGCAATTGAAGCTTCTCACCCCGAAAACAACTCATCTGTGGTCGGTGAAATGGATAAGGCAAAGACTTGAGCGTCAAGCCAATGTATAATCTTGTCACTAAAGTGATTTTCGCAAGTTCTATAATGTAGAGCTAGTAGGTAGATAGGTCCAGAGATTACTTTCGCCATTTTGGCTAATAGTTCACCAAACTTGTATCCATAAATATTATCATTCATACATCTACAAAGACGCCTTTTCTTCTAGGTTATATACTAAGGGTTCAGTTTTAAAAAGGGATTGTTAAATTTCAATGAACTATTAGGAGCTAGTCAAGTTATGTGTGGAAGCTAGATTACCTAGGAAACATTCTCTTGGCACGTTGACAGGTCAAACTTATGCACAACAGGTATACGGAGAAGTCGTCTGCCACCCAGAGCTAGTAATCCCGTCGTGAAGTCTAATCGTTAATTATAATAACCATGCGAAAGTCACAAAACATAGCATTTCAAAATGCGTCCCGGGCACAACGTCAAGTACATCGAGTTTTGCGTTTTTGTTTATCCTAGAACTTCAAACTCAGAATATCAACTTTACATATGCGTCCACTATATATCATACGATCTTAAGATTCTTGCAATTAGATCCTTCGTCCATCGCTAACATATTCGCGTAAAACAAATTCGGCGAGATGGAGTAAAATCGAGTCAGGCGGCAGACGGTATTACTACACAGATATGGAGCTGGCTATACGATATGTGCTAAAATGAGGAACAAGCATATCATTGTTTGCATCGAGAGCTATAGTACTGTAATCGACTTTAATTCTTCTCTCCACGCTTTGCATTGTCACTAATCATCTTGTCCAACGTCTTATGGGCTGAGAGCAATGTTTCACCGCTAATGCCCGTATGATAAGGAGTGTTAGTAAGCCCATCCGAACACGAACCACGTAGTTCTTGGGCTGATCGTCTACTACCAGACGTAGCAAGTCGGGTCGCGAATAATGCCCGACGCAATTAATCAAGGTTTTAGCATAATCAATCTGGTCCAGATCAATGTCGCAGTAAATCAAGCCATCAAACTTGGGGTCCGTAGGCTCAGTGAGCAGCTTACCGTCAGGTCCAAAACCAGCTGCACGACCACCGCCTCCAGCAAGCATAAACCCGTCTTTGTCAGAGTTTCCTTGGCCCTCGCTGTTCAACCTGGGCCCCTCGGCCGATAATGGTTGATTGGTGACAAGTACAAAGACAGCTCCTTCCATGGCATACATTCGGCTAGCCGTGACCTCGTTGGCCTCGGAAAATACGGAAAAGGGTTCCAAGGCCTTATCTGTGTAAGATTCATTGAATGGCCAAGCAGCGATATGAACTTGTTCGCCTTGGCAATAGGTATGATATTTGAGCAGCGGTTGAAAATGCTCTATAACGTACTAATGTCAGTATTTATGAATTTAAATTGACATGGGCGAGCAAAACTTACCCCAGCAGTTCAGCATGCCAATTTTACCCAGAGGTGTGTCGGCCACTATTGTAAGTGAGTCTCCTGTGGAATCGCCAAATATTGTCCTCTCGACATGAGTAGGCTTTGTTTTGCGGCGATGAAAGAGAATGTTCCCGTTAGGGCCGATGAAGACTTGGGCAAGATATAGGGATGCACAGACGTAGATGTTTGCAGCCGCAGTAGCCTGGCGGATTTGTAGCATCTCATCTCCATAGGCAGACATGCTGTTTTGCATGTATTTCTGTACCAAAGGTAGGTTCTCCCTGTAGGTACCCGACCAGAGGAAGTTCGGATATCCGGGGATCCATACTTCGGAGAACGCGATTAGAGAAGCTCCGTTCTGGCTGGCTTCTTGGATAAGGCTTATAGACTTTTTGATGCCGGCGGCTTTATCGAATCAACAGGGCTCGGCCTGACGCACAGCAGCCTTCCATTGGCGGATTGACATAGCGTAGAGCGTTATAGAAGTAGTTGCTAAGGACAAGTTCGGAAGAGTGTAAGAAGGCGGTAAATTTCTTAATACTTCTATTAAGAGTAAAGAAATATCAGAGATATTAACTATTATTTATTCTTTAGGACAATTATGTCGTAAAGTAAATCTAGCTTAAATATCACAAGGTCTTATCTTGAACCCTACCACTCGTTCGCACGGCTAAGCATTTTCCATGTTAATCTAACCCGAACCCGGAATACCCAGCCAATCTTCCCCGCTTTCGACAGCTTAAAATTAGTCTTGGATAGGCATTTTCCACCACCCTAGAACCGGCTAAGCATTTTCCTGACTCAGGGATAAGTGTGTCCTTTACCTTCTGAAGTGGCAAACGATATGGCAAGTGTTATTGCATTGTGAACTAGACCAAGTCTATTAAATCTACCTTTTAAAAAGACAATTTGTGATAGGGACCCAGCAGCTATACCCTGAATCGCTCAAAGTCCATTAACTTACGCGCGATCCGTCATATGACATAAGGTCTACAGTTATTACAATAATCCATTATCTGGTCCAGTCGATTCATCTTAGAATGTTCCAATCCAATTCTGACACCCGAGTCCTTCACTCATTAAAAACGGTATGTCGTTAGACAAACACTCCGGGTCCTGAAAATTCCATAGTGAGAAACTGGAATCCCAATGATTGAACAAGTTTGAGATGCCAGATACTCCCTCTTCGGTCCACGTGTCTCTTGTCCTCTCAACGATCCCTAGGGTATTCAGCGTATCTTCGGAAGACGACCATTCTTGTGCCAGTTGGCGCGTAGCAAGAAGTGCCCGCTGGCTCCACGCCCAGGCAGTGCTCATTTCAGTCAGCGCCTCTGCTAATATCTTTAGAGAGGTGGTAGCCCGAAATTGATCATCCCCATAAGATATAATAGTCTCGAGTAGAAGAATGATAGCCGCAGTAAAAGCGCAATGTACCGCCGACACAATTATTTGGCGCTATCATGATTTAGCAAAAATGTTCCCAAGATCGTAGTGTATAATTACCAAGTTGTAGTGTTTGCGATAAAGTTTGAATATGTTAGTGATGGACTGAGCCGATAGACTACACCTCCTAAGATGTGTTGAGCTTGCGTCAGGGTGAATTGTCAATGGGTCTGACATATTTCCTCGGACTCGTATGAATGGCCTGTGTAGAAGAATCACAGCAACGTGATACTGCAAGCTGTTGGCAAATTATCAACGGAATTCTGGCAGTAATGGAGACCGTAGAGCTCACTGAAGTAGGTAAACATGAGGTAGCGTAGGGGCCAGTGGAGAATTTGAGAGACGAAGACAACTTGGGAGGTTAGTTTAAAACTCTATAAGGGCGACGTATGTTTTGGTAACGACATCTGACGCATGTGACTTCGAACGCAGGCTGCTTGATCGGTAGCTTTTTTTTAATTTAGCATAAATTCTATCACCAGAAGCAGAATTTCGGAGATAACTGAACATTTCATCAAGAGCCGACGATGCGATTTTGAAAAGCTGAACTGTTGCCCTGACATTGGAGATCACACAGTTACTGGGAAAGACGATTGACTGGCCTGATAGAGATGTCGTAGACCATGGTCCATATTCCGCATCATGTTGAATGGAAGGGAGCTTGGCCGAGATTTCTATCTCTTGGACTGTTGATGGCCGACCAAGGCCGACGTTAAATAATCTTGCCGCCAAATATTTATTAACTGAGAAACACGAGTGTGAAGCTCGGGGGCCAACATACTTGTCTAGCACATAGAAAGCCCACCATACCACGCTTCGAAGCTCGGCAGCCTCTTTAGTGATAAGGCCAGACTCGCACCAATTGCTACAGTCCAGGTGCAGACCAAGGTTAAAAGCCACCCTTGTCGCCATCCCTGACATGTAAACGTTAGAATGATGTGGTGCTAATAAGAGCAGACAACTTATTTGTCTCGAATTATAAAGAAGTGGAAACGGAGAGTGTCGCATGGGTTTAGTCTATGGATACTCAAGAAGAAGTACAAGGGCCAGCTTACCGCAATAAATCCAACCCAATGCCTCTTTATCAACGGCTGTTTCCCGAAGCGAAAGAAGCGCTGCAGCTTGAATAGTTGTGATTTTGGGTGCTTGGCTCTCATAGAATAAAATCATCCTAGCCTTTTCTGCGAGAGCATTCCCTGCCGTATTAGGGTCCTGGGGGTCAGTTCGCAATTCTACGCGATCCGAATATCGAGCTGCTAGAGCCAACACTGATGATAGAAGTAGAGGGGAGGCATAAAGACCCGAATGGCTAATGTAAATATCCTCGAGGAAAAGATCTTTGACAACGATATACTGCCAACTATTTTGCCAGATCCAGAATATTCCTAGCAAATGGTCTCGCAGCTCGTCAGACACCTTGAAATTGAGGTCCAAGAGTTCGAGTGTACGAGCGGCCTGCTTTTGTAAGTCGTGTGAGGATATAGTTGCACTAGCCGCAGGGCTATTCTTCAACAATGAGAAGTTGATCCTGGATCCAAAGTAACGAATGTGTCCGTCCTCACCGATATTGAGGTTGCCAAGTCGATCACTGATATCCTTGATAGGTGATCGGTGCGAGTGATTCGCATCCTCAGACGAGGATTCAGCTTCAGATTGGCTCTGACCCTCTTCAAGAATGGCCGCGTCAACTTCTTCATAAGATCCACTGTTATCCTTGAGGCGGTGTATCTGTGACTCTAGAATCTTAATGCGCTCTTGGAGTGCCTCAACGTAGCGCTTACTTGGGGATCTATGTTATTACCATTATTTAGTTAGTTCTAGGACTTCAGTAGTGCATAATACCACTTGAGATAAACACGCGTTTAGATGACTCAATTCCGGTTGCTCTCCTGGCTCTTGTATTCACAGAGGTCGCCGCTTCTGTGACACGATATGCAGGAGGGTCGCTGGCCATCACACTAGGAGTTCGACCAATTTCATGTCAGTACTGTAGTAAACACCTTGACTGAAAATGAGTAGGACCCACCTTGATGCGCCTGGTCCGACATAGATTGCATGCCAGGGCAGAGCGTTGTCTTGCTTTCCCAGATGTTGTTAGCTGGGAGCTCATGACGATATTGGCATATCAACGATAATTGATAAGTACTACGGAGGAGATGTAAAGCGGGGGAGTTCAACATACGGAACTACATAGTTGCGTCCACGCTATAGCAGTTACAGTATAGGTAAACTCTATTATGAACCAGCCTACTCAGTTCAGATAAAAATCTACCCCACGTTGACAACAGATACTAGAGCTACCTTATCTGGGATTTGTGAGTGACGAATAATAAAGTTCCATTTGTGGTAATGATAAATGCAAGTTATGGAAGTTCACTCGCCGAGATTAGCAATATCAACTTCAATGAGCCTAGGGTTTATTGCATTAAGCGCGACTCTAGCAATGAAGTCGGCCTCCTGCACGGACGCACGATCAACGTATTGACTACCTACGCCTTAATAGCGATTCGGATCGGGACTTGATCGAACACATCATAGGAGCTATATATTATGAGATTTCTTCAGGATTCTTCAGCTTTCAGACTATCCAAATTATCAGCCAAATTCATTGCTTCTTCGCTCGAAGATCTATCTGCCATCTCGTTTTCGACCCTCGAAAACATTTTGGAGTTCACTGCAGGATAACTACCCTACAGCCCTGTACAAACTCTTGCGGATCGTAGGTGGCTTAATGGTATTCTCTCGCGGGCTGGTATCAGCGGCGGTAACCTTTCTTTACCAAAATCGGTCGATAAAAATATCGCAGCGGTCATTGCTAACAACTCTATCAATTTTGATGTGGTCGACCCAAACAATCACATCAAACTCGTCAACGGATGGACCATTCCCGTTTCTCCATATCAAGGAAATTACGGGACAAACTAAAATGCTTAAGCCATTTTCATCATACACTATTTATAGACTCAGAAGCTAGTCATCATCCCAATCCATCCACTTCTTACCGGCGAAATCGATTTCAGTATGCAATCATTGCTAATCGCCTTGCGCAGAAAACTGACTGTGGAGACTCATCGCTTTTGGAACATTGGCTCATACGACAATAATCAACAATTAGTTGCAAAGCCAGTTGACAGGTCCATTATCGATTCGCTAAGCCATGGCTTGAAATACACTAGAGGTGGTCACGCTCGTCTATGATTTCAAGGCGGTATCGAAAAATGGTACTGCTCAAGTATTTCTCAAAACCGCAGATGCACAGCCACCGGCGAACTGAACTGGTAAATGGTTCCCTGTAGCGGATACAGTTTCTCTCATCTGTGAATGCAAGATTTTAGTTTAATGACCAATATACTGATTTGATGCTAGCCCTTTTGTACTGACACGAGGACTCACTTCTTGATGTCACCTACGAGATGCCTTTAGTCGAGCCTTAACCTATAGTGGTTTAGGCATCCAAAAAGTTAAAACCATGAACCCAACTAGTACAGGGACTTTGAAGCCACACGACATCTGACGGCAAGCCCACGCCAGGCTTCATCCGCTGAAACTTGATTCCGTAAATTGTATATCGTCAACAGCTTTAGACCCAAACCCCACTACCTAAATCAACTTTTTCTTTACTCAACTCGGCATTTTTCGAATACTATGCGGTTTTATATTTCAAGAAGCGTGCCGATTTCGTCCTTTATATAGCCTCACTGGTAGTAGCGATCCTCCGCGTCCCCGCCACCCCTGTTGGACCCGGATACAAAGTGCCAAGGCTTGAAGTGAGGCAGTGTTTAGAGGCTCAAGGTTGTTCATGTCACTGTTGACAACCTTCATGCTGTTGACTTCCTTCTGGAATCTGACATAAAACCCAAGAACATTCCCAGACTCCTTGTATGCCCCGAATTGTAGAAGTTTCGTCTCATGTCACATTCTTGTTTTACCTTTCTATCCCCCTCTAATCAACCATCATCGAATAAAAATTAGTTGTTCACCACTGGAAACATGTCACTGGTATCGATTCTTCATCCCGACATGGCGCGGTAACAAGACACTGTAACCCCACTATCAATCGCACCTGTTTTGGAGCATAGGCTGTCTGAGGAGCAGAGTCCTCTCCAAAGTCCGACATTTGAAGACTCTTATCACCTACTATTCAACATTCCCCTTACTTCTCCCTGCACCAAGGCAAATGTCCACACTCTTGTTGTATTTAGGAACCTTAGGTTATCCTTTCGTTGGGGTCTTCGCTCTGGCCCGATTTTCAATCTTATCTCTTCTGTTCACAAATCCCTGATCAAGAAGAACAGAAAACTTTGTTCCTGTGGAGAAAAAGTCGCAGAAGCTACAAAGATGGGTTGCAAATACGACCCCCTAGCGTCGCTGTGGCCGCCACGTCACCGCATTGACGAGGAGCTATCTGCTGAGTTTGAGGAGGCAAGCCCTGGAGAAGCTTGTATGTAACTCAGGAGTGACACCTTATTCATTGCAGGATGTTAAAAACCTCATATCAGGCGTATTGGATAGCAGTAGTAAATCTGACAATGTGGAATATATTCGAGAGCTTATAATACTTAGAGTAACCAGGGTGTCAATTTAGTGAGTTACGAGTGACGATTGAGAAAACATCCTATTGGGTAATTTTTCACGGATGCAACCACGGGAGTACGAGCTGAACAAGTAGAGTAGTAAAATGAAAAAGAATTCGTCGATGCCTTATTCTTAAAATGGCCCAGTTGCTGGCCAATAACTCTGACCTGGTTAGTTAGTCGTGGGCCCGAGAGTGTAATAGGCAAGATTGGAAGATATCAAGAAGCGTTTTTCCACTTGCAAGATGAACGCAGGATGTTGTTCCTAGTTCGTACCTCAATAGTATGCCCAACACAGAGCCTACCAACCTCTACTGCCAGTATGTAGATATAATTACCAAGGTAGTAAAGTAAGCAATAAGGTGGCATCAGCCAGTGACCGTGTGTCACTAAAAAGGGATTATTCACAAGGACTTATACGGTCTGCGTCTGGCGCGTCATCTCGTTTTCTTCATAAGCAAATTAGAAGTTGCCAAGTAAGGAGATATTGCATAGAGAACTGTGATACTAGTTTCAGCACAGCGCTTACCTGTTATCTATACATGTCCTCGATATAGCATTAGTTCTCATGTCGTAACCCATGTGCGGCAAACACGGTCGGGGCGTCTTTAAGGTTTACTAGCTTGTGGTGACATCGCTTCTACCGGCCGGTCCATATCCCCGCATATCCGTTCAACTCTATTATATTAACTCATGGAATTCGGTAGCACGTCGAACAGGGTCTGCCTGCTGAAAGCTCTTAGAGCTGCAGCAAGTCTCCTCAAGCCTGAATTAGTGCTAATTAGGCATACACAAGCGCTACAAGATTTCGTGAGTTGGTATGGTATTGTTCCTGGTTATATTGATATGTCGTTGCATGCGCGCTCTTGCTCTCATTGGTCAGGAATCTCGGTATCTAATCGCATCACCAGTGCAGTGGAGGGTCGTCCTTCCATTCACCACGACGAAAGGGATGTCAACGTTTTTCTTACACCGATTGGCCTTTATTCTAACCCTACCATGGCCATCGCCAAGGGTACTCTTGGTTTGATTGCATGACAGAAGTGGTTACATCGACTTCTATTATAACTGTCTGACGCAAAACTTGGAATATGTCCCTACCGTTGCCTAACGCAGGGTAAGGCATCATTATACCCAACGTTAAGTCATCTTCCCGCATAAGGCGGCTGATCGATGTCCCCAAAGCCATGACATAGATCTCTAGTTTAAAGTGGGATGAAAACTTTAAACTCCACTGTACCCCGTGATCTTAAAACGCCGTGGGATGGAATTAGCGATGAGGGATTGCATTAGAGCTGATTGGACCGCTAAAATAGCACAGGGCAGTCCGCTTCCCCGGAAAACGACAAGGTACCGAGAACTTAGCGGTCGTTCAGCCCATATACATCGAACGGAAACTTGTTGGAAAAACACTTGTGTTGACCTATCTCTGTAGTGGCCCGGCACATCCCGCACCTCCTACTCAAGTTGGAGGTGCGGGATGTGCACAGCCGGAGCATCAATGAGATGGAGCTAATTCATATTCTTTTATCCTTATACTACATATCAATCACGAGTCATGAAGTAAGAAAATAAGCAGGCCCATCAATTACATCGTCCCACTGTCCTCGCGAATCGTGTCTTTCACGTTGATCACAGAACTGCCGACTGGAGCATAGCATGCCAAGCTTCTAATCCTTGCATCACTATTACGATGCGGGCGTTGCTGAATGATGAGATATCATCCCATGTAGTAACTTTGCAGCACCGCTGTTCTCCCCGGATGCCCCGCTTGTGTCTCAATTGACACGACCAAGTAATTTTGCTTAAATGTCTCGTGTGAATCAACAACACGGTACACCTCAGACCTGGACAAGGATCAGCTGCTAGATCAGCGGTGACATTGAGGAATTCCAGTGTACGGCAATCGGTAGAACACGGACCTGACTGGTTGTCGGTTGAATAGCCCAAAATGGGTTATTCCATGAATACGAGCAGAGTGGATTTCGACGGGATTTAGAATAGATCAACGGATGTTGGGTTATGTTATCTTACGATACAAGAACGGATCAATAACGGATCAATAACGGATCAACAAGCAAAATTGCCTTCAATTAGATCCATGTATATTGTGTTGTTGTCCACGGTATCCGGATATTGCGGTATCTGAAACAGGCTAAACAGTGAGAACTCATCTAAGTTTCGCGTTCAAGATTGCTGACCAGGATTGAAGCATTGCTAAGCGAGTCTTGGTTTCTCACTATGATTCAGGGTGGTAGTCGACAAGGACAGGACATTGTTGTTTAGTCAAGCCGTTTAGAGTGGAATGGACATTGCACGAGCTTTCGCTTTACGAGATCATATCTCATAGCAGGTCTTGTTGTGATGGATTTTTACAATGATATTTGTAGATTGATTTAATTTTGCTACATTTTCTTTTTAGCTGCCATGGGTTTGGCTAGCGCTGCTGGTGGTTTAGCAATAATGAGATATCACAATTGTATTCGCGTCACCGACGTTGGTCTCGCAGTTCTCCGTGAAAGTAAAAATCGGGTGATGTACAAGGGTGAAAGTATACTAACGGCTATCGAATGAAGCAATGATCTGTTCCTGGTTCATAAGACACTATTCTAATTCAAGGATGATACCGAGGAGAACCTCTACTGTAATACCTGCCGAAGCAAGATTATGTCCCAGGAAGAGACAAGAAATCGACGTACTAGGTGATGAGACATTATCACGAATGGACAACTTGATGAAGAGTTACTCGTAGTAGAAAGATTTTCAAGCCCGACGCTTTATGAAAGCCACAGCTGTAATCATGTATAAAAAGCCTGGCCCCTTCAATATTTCCAGGTCCAGAATATCACCATTCATTCAGCCTACAAACAACATCGAACAAACTTCAAACCTATACTCAGATATTGCTAGCAACTATGACCCTTCTTTCCTCCTCCCGATCTATCACTAGAACTATGGCCTTGTCTTCTACCACCGTCCAGCCCATCATGGCCAAAAACATGGCTACCGCAGCTACTCAGCCTCATGCCGAGAGTCTTCCAAACGCTTCTGGCATTCCCCCTGGACATACTGCCACTGTTGGAAAGCTGCAGACCTTTGTTTTGCCTGAGAAGGTGTCTGGCAGCGTTGAAGACAAAAATCTTGGAAAAACCATCATCGATGCCTGGAAGAAAGATGGCATCCTACAGATTGCCATGAAGCCAGAGCAGCAGGGTTTGTACAAGAATGCCAACCTAGCAAGCAAACGGTTCTTTAGTAAGCCTTACGCCCAAAAGTCTGCCTGTGTCGACAGTCAGACTTACTCAGGCTATATCGCCAGCGGTGAGGAGCTCACTGATGGTATCGCTGACTACAGCGAGATCTTCACTGTCACGAAGGATCTCGAACTTGATGAGCCTAGAGTGGTCGCCAAATGGCCATGCCATGGCCGCTGCCCTTGGCCTGATTATGAGATGCAGAATCCTATGGAGCGCTACATGAACAGTCTGAGAGAAAGTGGTGAGACGCTCCTGCAGCTCACAGAGTTGGGTCTCGACGTGCCTGCAGGGTCTCTCACCGATTACACAAAAGATGGCTGGCATCATATGAGAATCCTTCGGTGAGTGCCCATAACAGAATTGACTTCTGAGTGGTTCTCCGCTGACACCTAACTTCATAGTTTCCCTGCCATAAACAAAACCAACGGAAAGGGCAAGGAAGGTCGTGGAATTGGCTCTCACACTGACTACGGCCTCCTCGTTCTTGCAGCAGCTGACGATGTTGGAGGTAAGAATATTAAAACGACCAACACTATCGATAACTTCAGACATGCTAATGAGATGTACCAAAGCCTTGCTTGTTCGCCCTCCACAAGAGGGAGACGACTTTGCGAACTGGGAGAAAAGTGCAGCAGGTTTCAAAGAAGACTCTGAAGGCTGGTTGTTTGTGCCTCCTGCAGAGAACGTGTTCACCGTTTTTCCAGGTATGTTCCAATCAACCATGTCTATAGAAGGGTTACCAACTCAATAACCTACGACTAGGTGACATGATGCAGTATCTCACCAACTCGTACCTACCTTCTACCCCTCACAAAGTTGGTCTTAACCATCGGGAGAGGTTTGCCTTTGCTTATTTCCATGAGCCGAGCTTTCAAGCTGTTATTAATCCCCTCCCGGGTTATGATGCCGGCCAGGAACCCAAGGAAGGAGTGCACTATGGTAAACACTTTACTGACATGTTTATGAGAAACTACCCCCAGCGAATCACCACCCAGAGGCTGATTGATGAGGGTCGTTACGATCTGTTGAAGCAGGAGAGTCTTTATACTATGTCACCTTGAAGGATCTTAGGGGTTCCCTTTAATCTATGTATTTCACTCGCTACTACGTTCTACTTAGATTAACATAAATTGGATAAGCTTACCATCGAATCACATCCGACTAAAACCTTGATCATCGATTATCATCTACTGCAATTACCAACAAGGACATTTTGTTAATTAGCGGTGCTTTCTTCGGTTCAAAGTCAGACTACGCAAAAGTTGACTATAGCTCTAGAATTCCTGGCATAACTAATCGAACTCTTATCATTGACTTAACCTGGATGGAATACGTGACCGCAGCGTTTAACAGTATCTCAGAGATTTTCTTAGCCGTAAATCACTTATGGGTGTTAGTTCACGTAGTCCGTCCGTATGGTTTAATCCACAATATGAAAAAACAAGGGAGAGGATGGCGACGACCCGTTGTGGCTTATCCGATTGTTCACTGAGATTTTACGATCAAGTAAGTACTCACCAGGTGTTAGGTATGCTTATATCCCAAGCTTAGTGTCCTCCCTGCATCCGACTTGTAGCTTCTCAACTTTAGTAATCATTATTACCACCCAGGACGAAGATTCACGCTATCTGGTATACACATCTGACGTAGGACGGATTTCAGGGGTAAGTATAGGGTCACTAGAAATATGAAAATGGAATGATGACGAGGGTCCGTAGTACTAGGACTTAGCTTCCTTGATTTAGGCGAAATAATACCATTATCTAGAACTACTGCCCCTATTCAACATTCCCAGAGCAACATATCCGACTTATACTCAATCAACTGCCTATGTAACTATATTCTTGCTTTGGCTAATATGTATGTGTTAGCTGGACATCTCTTTACAGGATCTGACTCGGAGGTTTTACCTCATCAACGGAGAGATCAGTTTGAGCCTCGGATTTTCCATCAGTTGCGGCACGCTTCTTGTCGCCACCGTCAAACCAGCCCACATCAGTTTGGATAAAGAAACTCTCAGCTTCGGCCTTCTTGGTCAACTCGCTGCTGGAAGGCGTTGGGGCAGCAACCGCAAGAAGGGGGGCGCTGAGCGCTACAATAAGTGAGAACTTCATGTTGAAAAGAGTCTGAAATGAGATGATCAAGAGGAATCGGTCAAAAAAGACGATGGTGCTGATGGTTTTGTGAGATTTTTTGTGACAGTTGTTTTGACAGAAGTCTATCTAATCTTTTATATTGATCTCAGTTTACCCTCCTCGGTGAAATGCTCCACCGAGCTTGGTATATTCATTCCATTTCGTCATCTGTAGAGCCGAAGGTAATATGATGAGATGCGGGGAATTATGACATTTCAAATATGTTTATTCGTGGAATTATAGAATAAGAAGACAGTACATAGAGGCAAGTCTCATAATATGTCTCGAGGTATATGAGGTGGTAGCTTAGTGGTCGATTTACTTAGTCAATTCCCTCGAAGGATTGGCTAGGCCGGATTACATGTAGTTCATTTCGGTGGTCTTGGCGAGTGGTGGATAAACCAGCCTAGCCTGAATCCTACAACGAGGAGATCGATCGAAACAGGTAATTTTCCACCAGATCTCTGCACCTTACATTTCCGACCGGACCAATATATCGCGAATGGATGTAGAACTCGTCATGGACTTACCCGAGTAAACAGGTCAGTAGGATGATATATATGTCATCTCATTAAACGCATTGTGGTTTTTTTCTGCACATAAGCCAATTTCTACTAAGTTCGGTACCTTTTCCAATTCATTTGCCCTTTCTTAAAATGTCAGTGTTTTCATCTGAAGACCGGGAGAGTCACGACCGGCTTTTAGACAAAGAGTATGACCCTCCAGACCAAGAGGAGAACTGGGAAGAAGATGACAAGCACCGTCTAAGACGGAAGAAGTCCAAACACGGGAAGATTATCAAATGTCTATCGCTTGCTTGCAATGTAGCCCTGTCCCTCTTATATCTCTGGTTATGGTTAAGATCAAGATCACCATTACCACCTTGGCCAAACACTCTTTACTGTAGGTCGCCACACCATCAGTACCCGCATAATTGCTGACAAGACCTTCTTAGCTCCGGCGCAAAGTGCAGTAGAATATGAAACAGTCATCTTCAACTCTGATTTTCCAGAAGATCAGTAAGCCTTGATGTGAACAGTCACGACGGAGCTAGTCTAATCGATATCACAGTTCGGGAAAGACGGCCTACTACGGCGCATCTCCTCAAGCAGAAGCGGCGTGGACTAAACTTATGGACCCGTATCTAGTGAAAATCTCAGGCAAAGAAGCTGCAGGATTATCACGACCGACGTCAAAGATCTCCAAAGATCCAGACTACTATATAACCAGCCTAGACGTGTACCATCAACTACACTGCCTGAACGACATTCGAAAGATGGTTAGAGATTATAACTCGACAGAGGGAAACCTGGAAAGACTACAAACAATGCATAAGTTCCACTGCATTGACTCAATCCGACAGAGCCTGATGTGCAATGCTGATTTGAGTACGATTCATTGGTATTGGGCACCTTCTGTCGGGAAGAATTTCCCCAACGCAACTACGACGCATATCTGCAGGAAGTGGTCATTAATTGAAGAATGGGCAATGAATCATAGACTTGACCAGGATAAATATGATCCGAAGATACATTTTGAGTAGAAAAAATGGGTTTATCCATCCGGCAAGCAATGGCTTGGTGTGACTAGAGATACCTGACATGACGCGGCCTCTACACCCTCGAGACAAGGATTTGTCGGTTCCTTTTCTTCAGAATATAATTCAGAGAATATGGAGTAAGACTGGTCGTAGGGTATTTAGTTAAGCTGTCTTGTATAAAGGACAATGTCATTCTCAGATAGTTGTATTAGCTTAGCTATGAGGAGGAGGACTCAATAACTCCCCGTCTTTGTCTGACTTCATCCATCAACTGCTTATATTCCCAGTTGTCATATCCTGCCTCTAGGTTCTCCAGGTTCGCCTTTTGACTGGGAATCACATCGCCATATTTGCTATTGATTGTGATATATGGCCAAATTTTATTGTCCTCATCTTCGTCTACCATCTTGCGTAGTCGAGCGGATATCTCATCATCTGTGTCTGCTAAAGTGATTCCGGGCTACCGCAGTCTCCAGGTTTCGGTCCTCGTCAACGGGAGAAGTGTTGGGTGCCGATAGACTACTTCTAGTAACGCGGGATTATTCTCTCGGGCCGCTTTCCAAAGTTCTGCCCAGGTCAGGTCTTCCTCGGGTTCATGGAAGTAGTACTCTATGCCCGATGCCATACAATTCTCCATGTGTATGCTCTCAAGCTTTGGAGTGCCTCCTCTCAAACATTTCCCCAAGCTTGATGTTATGCACACGTTGTTGAGGCGCAATGTTTGTAGTTTCGGCATTGTGGCTGGCGTAAATCTCAATGAGCGATGACCCAAGTGACCGTACCTTTGCGCGGTGAGTGTCAGATGTTCGGGATTCTTGGCGTGTTCGAAGACTAATGATGGGAGTTCTTTGAAGAAGTCGTTGAATTCATCTAACGTGTTGACTGACCACCCAGCTCCATTGTTTTGACCGTAAACTACCAGGGTTAGCCCTTTCAGTCTACCCAAGAAATCTGACCAGTCTGACTTCAGCCAGATCGATGACTTGCGTGGTAAGAGATGAAGGAGCTCTCTGCCAGCAGAAAAAGAAAGCAAGTGGAATGGCGGCGCCAGGCATCAACTGTGGGTCACACAATGGCAATGAACCCCGACCATTTCCTCACCCGGAATCCGCAATTTCCAAAAGCAAACCCGCAAATGTGAAGATAACTTAAGAAATAGTATTTAAGAGATTATAATTAATATTATAATACAGCTAATGTATGCGATAAGCGAGCGGTATAGATAACTGAGCGGTATAAAAATCCCTCATCTTATATTAATACTATTAGATTAGTTAATTCTTAACTAAATAACATACTATAACCTAATACAGAGGCTTATATTGTTCTTGCACTTAAGGCATATAAGGCAGACTTAAAATTAAGTCTGCGATAAGCTGCTTTCCTCTATAATGTTTACTTCTGCATCCTCTACTATTAACTCCAGGGCAGGCAGGCTTGTATAAATTATATCCCTAATAGGCGGAAACTAAGTAATTAGGAGGAATAAGTTATTATTAAGTATACCCTTAACCTAGATTTGCAAGAATTTCCCTGTCAGTATTATAATATTAAAGAAATAGTAAATTGTCTACTTACTAATTTAAATAGCGCTAGGCTATTAATATTACTAACTAATAACTAGAGCTTAAGATATAATATATTTAACAAGTAAGTGTCCTAGATAAGTAGGTATCTTAAAAATCTAAACACTCTTTATTATCTAGATAATAAGATTACTATAATTTAATTAATTAATTAACTATAATACTTCTTATATATTTATCATTTCTCTTTATATAATCTAGTCTTTTTTACTTTCTAATAATAGCTTAATATTATATTTATTTTTTTAAGACTTTAAACTTAATATCTTAATAAAATAACCTTATATATATTTTTTAATATTACTTTAATATTTAATTTAATAGCCTTAATTATTAACTCTAAAGAGCTACTTTTATACATAATAACTTATTTAATTAGGTATTTAAATTATGCTTATCTGGCTCGCACGCTTGTCGTGGACACTATGCCGACTAGAGAAAAATTGCTGACAGCTAAAATGCTGCATGCGGCCAAATGAATGCCCGACTCTATAAAACGCCACCAAACACCTTCAACCCAACATTACGAACCCCTCATCTTAGTATCTTTGACAATGACAGAATCACAAGCCTGGGTATTTTCACAACGGGGGCTTCCCTGGGATGTCCTTAACCTCACAAATCAGCCTATCCCAACTCTACCACCTCCTCTGCCTTTGCCCAAAGCCGTACCGAATCCGGAAGAATGGATCGTGGTCAAGGTGGCCTTTGTAGGCCTCAACCCAGGTGCCATCTATCAGATGACCCTCGTCCCACCCTTTATTAGATCTTCATCTTGTGTCCCTGAAATGGACTTCTCAGGTACCGTTATTGATGTCTGGCACCCAGATGATGAGTCCGTGCTAGCACAGACAAGAAGATTCAATAAGGACGATAAGATCCTCGCTATGCTGCCAGCTAGTTATACTTTGCCTACCGGAACAGGCGCTTTGGCTCAATTTGTTCGGATCCCAGCGAGATACGCTGTACACAAGCCAGAGGGTGTGAATTTTGGTGATGGAGCGGGCTGTTTGCTAACAGGCTTAACGGCAAGGCAATTAGTGTGCGAGTCGGGAGCGAAGGCAGGCGACCGCGTGTTAGTCAATGCTGCAAGTGGCGGGATAGGCTCTTTAGTAGTACAGCTGCTTCGAAAGGTTGTTGGGGTCGAGGGATACATCGTCGGAATCTGCAGCGGCAAGAACGTTGGGTTGGTGCAGAGTCTCGGAGCTGACGAGGTGAGTCAAGATCCGTCATGCAGAAGAATGTCATGTAACATCTCACAGGTCGTTGATTATACGCAGCATAATCCCTTGAACCAGCACCTGACGGAGAAATTCTCATTAAAACCTTTCAGCGCTATCATCGACACACTTGGCAACCAAGCATTATACCTCGCATCACCAACATACCTGGTTCCCCATGGCAATTATTCTTCCGTCGGTATAAAGCCGCCCACGTTCTTTGTCCCAGACTTCCTCCGCGCTGTGCTACAAATGAAACTCAACGAGTGGTGGCCTGTATCGTCCTGGCTCGGCGGCGTGGGACGTAAGTGGATAGGCACGTCCATGATGAGCCCTACGCTTCAAGACCGTCAGGATATAGCGGATATGCTGGGCCGAGGCGATATCAGGCTGGTGAGAGACAGTGTGTGGAAGTTTTCTGACACTAAGGAGGCGTATAGAAAACTTGCTGGACTCCATTCCAGAGGCAAGATCCTGGTAAAGGTGGATGGGCAAGTTGGCGACGAAGAGAGTTAGATGGTATCCTCTAGTTTGAGGGTCAGCATTGAGTGCAGGTACTTCGTGTCGCGGTTTTTCAAATCATTCAAGAATAAATCCTGGTCTAAGGTATCCAACACTGGGGGTCAATCTGTG